TGTTCGTTCATTGAATACCCACCTTAAGGACAAAATTAAGTGTAGAATTTTCTTATGCCGCCACTACACGGTTAACGTAAAACGAAATAGTGTAATTGTTCACGCCCTGAGTTGCCTCAACAAAGGTTGACTGGACTAGGGTCCATGAGTAATCCATCGACGGGCAACAGAGGACGGGGCCCAATGGCCTATGGATAAACGTACAAAAAACGGCTGACAAATAAGCAAGCACTTACCTATTTCAGGAGGTAAGGTTGACCACAGGGTACCAGTCAGGTGATAAGTGAGGTGCATGTAAGTAGTGTGCCCAGTCGTAGATCACCAATGGAAAATTTCTGCCTTCATTTCACTATTTCAGTTTATCCACTTTATTGTACATTTACATAACTTCAAAGTCAACCAACTCAACGTTCTTCGAAATTAAAACAAGTGACACACGACACAAGTAACAAACCGTCATTCAAAGTTCAATGGTATGTTCACTTAGAAACAAAATTATAATAATAAGCACACGCGGTCTACTCTCAAGTTCTCTAAAGTTCAGCGTTCCCCACGACAAGCTAAAATTCTTTCGTACGATATTAAAATACCACGCCCGCAATAGCCCTAGCTCACGACAAGGAATCACGGGAAGCCGGCACACGCCCCCCCCCCCCCCCGCGGCGCCTACCTCACCTCGATACCATCGGGTGACGCACCGGGCGCGTGTTATTGAATGCAAATTTCAAATGCCCATTTTTGGGCCTAAACAGTAATCTAACCTCCAATTTGGAGGAAGGCACTTCCATCCACTTGATCAACAATTTTGAATAAAAGAGAATGAGATAGAATACAGGTATACAGTATTTCCTCTCAGTCCTCTTTTCCGATGGTTTCACTTCAACCGTGTGTGTACTACACACATGTTTTTTTAATTTATTTTTATATAGAATAAGGGTGACAAACGAGCACACAGTCTATCCAATTGCAACATTTATCCTCAATTAAGAATTAAAATGCAGATACGTTGTCACCCTTGAGGGCTGAAATAATAACAATAAATATTTATTTTAAGATTACAGATATATGTTTACATATAATCACGCCTGTTTCCTTTAAGGGTAGGCAGAGACCACTTCTCACCACTTGCTACTATCCTTACATACTTTTTTCGCTTCGTCCACTTTCATTATTCCCTTCATACATGCCCTACGGTTTAGGGTACTCTTGATCTGGCCTTTTTTCAAGACGTCTCTGATTTGGTCTAGAAATGTCCGCCTAGGTCTACCCTTTCCAACACTTTCATTCACACTCGCCTTATACACTTTTTTCGTCAATCGTTCTTCATTCATTCTCTCGACATGGCCAAACCATCTCAGCATACCTTTCTCAATTTTTGTCACTACATCTTCTTTCAGACCACAACGTTTCCTTATCTCACTATTTCTTATCCTGTCACTCAGTTTAACTCCTATCATAGTTCTTAATGCTCTCATCTCAACTGCATTTATTCTGCTTTCATGTTTTTTCTACCATACCCAACTTTCACTTCCGTACATGAGTGTCGGAACCAACACCCCCTCATGCACAGCCAAACGAGCCTTGTTAGACACCTTCCGACTGCTCATAAAGGAGTGCAAAGCTCCATTCACCATTTTTCCTGCATTCACTCTTCTTTCGATATCACTCTCACACTTTCCATCTCTTCTAAACTTTGAACCCAGATACACAAACTCTTTCACCTGTTCAATTTGTTCATCTTCAATCAAGATATTGCAGTCTGTCACTGCCTCATCTTTTTCAAACACCATCACTTTCGTCTTCCTTATATTCATCTTCATTGCCTTTCTAACAAAAGCTCCACTCATAGCAGTTACCATCTCCTGCAACTCCTCGGCCGAAGACGCAAGTAATACTTGGTCATCAGCATAGAGAAAACATTTGACGAGTAACTCATTCATTCTCAACCCACTTTCATTCTCTTTTAAATCTCTCAAACAATTGTCCATGAACAGATTAAACAGCCACGGTGACGCTACACATCCCTGTCTAACACCTTTTACGATATTAAACCATTCAGTATATGCCCCGTTTATCCTTACACAAGCACTAGAATCCCTATAAAGAGATTGCAATGCTCGTATGAGGATACTGCTCACACCGTTCACGGACAGTGCTGACCACAATTCATTCCTTACCACTCTATCATAGGCCTTTTCTAGATCTACGAACGCGCAGTAGACTTTTTTGTTTTTAGCCAAATACTTTTCGGCTATGCACCGCAAGGAAAAGACCTGATCCATACATCCCATTCCCTTTCTAAATCCCGCTTGTGCATGCCATACTTTCTCGTCTGTTTCATTCACAACCCTTTCAATCAACACTTTCGCATACAATTTACCGACGACGCTGAGAAGACTTATACCGCGGTAATTTATGCAGTCCTGCCGTGACCCTTTTCCCTTATACAATGGCACGATTACGGCTTTGCACCAGTCTCCCGGTACTTGCCCATTTCGCCAGCACAGATTGAAAAGGCGGTACAGCTGACTAGCCACCAGGCCCTGTCCAGCCCTCAGCATCTCGACGGTAATCCTGTCATACCCTGCAGCCTTATCTAATCTCATACTTTTCAACGCTTTCACTATTTCATCCATGCTTATCTCTATTTCATCAACATTTATATTAGTTTCCGTGGAAGGTGGCAGATGCTGTACCTGCACTTCCTCTCTTTCAAACAAACTTTCAAAATACTCTTTCCATGTCTTTAATACACATTCTTCTGCTTTTATAATGCTTCCATCTTGACTCCTGATTGTACTCAGCTCCGAGGTAGAAGTTTTTCCTCTGGCTGTTTTGATGGTTTTCCAGAAAAACTTAATATTTGACTGGAAATCTTCAGTGAGCCTCCTATCGAAATCATCCTTTCGTTCTTCTTTCTTTCTAGACACAATTTCTTTCGCTGCTGATTTCAATATTTTATACTTCGTTCTTGTTTCCTTTATCTCGTCATCCGTTGCCTTTTGAACTTTTTGGTTAGCTTTTGTTGCTAACCAATCCAACCACGCTTTCTTCTATTCTTGCACAACCCTTTGTACATCTTTAACCATCCACATGTTATCATTCTTTCTTCCTTTCCTTCTTTTAGCTACCTCAATAGCAACATTTACGACCCCTTTCTTAAATGTCTCCCACAAATCTTCAATCACTCCTATCTCTTCTATCCCTTTAAAACTTTCTTTCAGTTTCTCTACATACTCGTCTTTCTTTGCTTTTTCTTGTAGATTTTCCACTTTTACTCTGTCCAAAACACTCGTAGGCTCGGCCTTTCGGTGTCGCCACCGTTTAAAGAGGCCACGCATTCGGGCTATGACTAGGAAGTGGACTGTGTTGAGGCCTACACCGCGGTATGCCCGAGTGTCTAGCATTTTCTTCCTCAGTCTTTCATCCACAATTACAAAATTGACGGATCCGTGGCGCAGTGGCTTAGCAATCAGTTGTTGCGCTGGGGACCGCGGGTTCGAATCCCACACGGAACAAGTATTTGTATGGCCTACAAATAATTGTTCAGGGTCTGGATGTTTGTCCTTGTGCAATTTATGTTTGTAAACTGCCTCCACGACACAGGAGAAAATCCTAGTGTGAGGGTAACGTTTTTTAAGAAAAAAAAAATCATACTTCTAGACTCAACCTCATCTCTTGTATACAAATGGATCTTTTTGTGGTCAAACATTTTGTTGGCCACCCACAGATTCCATTCCAAACATACTTCAAACAAGTTTCTCCCATTGTCATTCACTCTCTCGTCTCCAAACGTACCCAGAACTCCTTCATACCCATCACGCTTTACTCCAACCCATCTATTAAAGTCCCCTAACATCACGATCCGTTCATTTTCTCCGCATTTATTCAAGACCTCTCTCTTATATCTTCCTATTCCTCTCAATATATGTTTTGATAGCATAATATTATTAAATGTGTAAAAAGAAAGAGGTGTTAAGCTTCTGGCGACCGACAAATGGAATTATATCCATTAAATGAGCCAAAACGTGTCTAATGGTTTTAAAAATATGTATTAATTTATGAATTCTTCTGCCAAGTGTGTTAATATTATGTTGTTTAAAATTTAAATTACTATCTATTACAATCCCTAGATACAAAATCCTTCAGAGACTCAGACTGGTGATGTACAACGGATGTTAAACATCGATATTTTCACGCTTAGTATCGATGCTTCGATCAAAATCAATAAATGTTTCATGTTGACATCCCTATAGCACAATATATCTACACAACATAATATTACAATTTTATAGAAAACAGCTGTATACTATAGACGCCTCACTATCTATCGCTATCGCTATGTCCTACTCACTCACTTGTTGCACCTACTTTCAAAAACTAGAGATTTTACTTGTTTATGTGAGAAAGTGAACTTGTATATTGAATTTGTGTCTTATTAGCATACGTATATGTGTTGAGTTTTAGTTTATGTTATCTAATTTACCGTTAAAATGTCGCGGTGACGCTTAATAATATGCGTGTTGTTTTTTTTATGTTATAGTTCGTTATGATCAGTTAAAATGCACCTGCAGTGCGTCATTAACATTGTCGATTACCGTGACATCGACATGCATGCATAGTAAGTGCAACGCGATGATGAGTTGTTAAGAGTGAGACTCATCGATTTAATGAAAATCCTGTTAGTGTAACAACGTGGATCGATTGTTGTTGAACAGGTAAAAAGTAAGATCCGAGGAGTCACCAGGTCCCAAAATGACTCATAAGTGGTCATTGGCTTGTCCGCATGCCACTATTGTTTTGTTTTTATTGAACGTCTATTACTTCGATGAGTAAACTGCAAAGAATGTGAAACTGAAGTGATTAAATTAAAATCGTAACAGTTTTGTTCTATTTATGAACTAAGTGAATAAATAAAGTTAGTGTAGGCGGAAACGTTCATGAAATTTAAACAAAAAATAAAATGTACAAGTGTTAAGTTTTTAACTCTCAAAAAAGCCATGGCTCAGAGTTCGGTAGATTCAGATAGACTGTCTTCAGCGGGAATATCAACTCATAGTTCGGGAACTGCTGGAACAACTGGCGGTTCGGTAGTAGGAGTGAGAGTTGGGGAATCTGGTCACAAAAGAGAAGATGAAGATGATTACAACCTAGGACCTCTACCTCCTATGTGGGAAAAAGCCTTTACACCATCTGGAGAGAGATATTTCATAGAGTAAGTAAAATAAAATGTAACAATATGAATACAATAGTGTCTTATACCAAGGAATATATAACATTGTTTAACAAAAATATTGCACTTAAACTTATTATTTCATATAATAACATATAGTAACAGAATTAGATAAGTCTATATTGACTACTATAAACCTGGAGGAACTCTTACCGTTGATAACAACAGTAAGAGTTCCATGTTGATAGTATTTATAGGTGATCCTCAGGCCTCAATTCTTGGTCCATTTCTGTTCTTTGTCTATATAAATGACTTTCCTTAACTTGTAGGGGATAACTACTATAAAGTATTAGTTGCCAATTATACTTCATTGATTTTCAAACTTAAAAGGCAATAATCAAATTTTGATTTGGATTATGCTTTGTCAAAATTAGTACCTACATTGGTTAACACCGACAATTTACTTTTAAACAGCAATAAAACCAAAGTAAAAAAAAAAACTTGAATGCCAATGTTTTCTTAAATGGAGAGGAAATGAGTCTAGTGGATTCTATGGCTTGTGAAGCTCCAACGGGGCTCCCATATATCTAAATTAGCAAGCAGAATAAGTTTTACAGTATATGCTGTAAGAAAGGTTACTTTTACTCATGTTGAACCAGCTAGATTGGCTGATATTAGTTATTTTAAAGAATAATGAACTGGAAAATGTATATTATTATTGTTTAATTTCTTGACTTAAAGACTTGATTGTGTCAAGGCGCATACCACTTTATCTTCACCACACCATTGGTTGACTGGCAGAGAATATCGACAGGCATTAGGTCCGCTCTTTGTTACCTTATTAAAGTGTATGCAATGAAATTATTTAAATAAAAATAATAGAATAATGTATTGAATTGAATTTTGCTATATGGAATGGCTATGGACAATGAAATTAGGTCTATTTGTTTTACAAAAGAGCAATTTATATTTATATAAGAGCAACTTATAACTTTGTAAAGTGTCTAAGTGAAAAGTTTAAAGAAATAAATGTATAACTTTAGGCTTACAATATATTTATGAAAAACTACAACTACAAAATATATTTGAAATGTGTAATGTAATATATGTACTTAAAAACATAAATAAGCTTTGATAAAAACAAAAATATTTTAAATACTAGGAACAAAAGCTTGTAATGCCAGTTACTTTACTCACTAGAATTAGTCATTCATTTTTGGAGTTATGTACACAATAAAAATCTAAAAACTTAACTCAACTTTAAGAAAATTTAATAAACAAAAACTCTACCTACTTACAAAAAGGGTTATTTTAATAATGAAAAATATATTAATGCTAATAACCCCAACTGTTTTTATAAAAATTTATAGACTAATATTATATTATTCTTATTGTTAATTTTATATCTAAATGACCTGCTGGTTCTTCTCAAGACAGAAGTATTTTCGGCTTAGCTTTCCATTGACGTCAGTGGAGTTTGGTGTTGATACGTATTTTTACAGAAAGATTACACTATTATAAGCACACACACAAAGTCTCATTATACGGAAACGCGTAATTTTTGAGAAAAGAATAATTGAAAATCAATTATTCTTGCAATGTTTATGTCTAATCTGCTAATAAACTGGCGCCATTTTGTAATGTCATTGTCGACATCAATAGGGATGTCGATTCTTTCCGAAAAAGGTCGATTTTTAAATCGATTCAAATCGTAAGCTTATGTATCGGTTCACAAAAAATCGATTTCTAAAATATCTATATTTTTTTAATGTTTCTATTTATAATGTAAATATAAACCCATTTTATGAAAAACAAGAAAGATACCATGATAAATGATCTCTTATTCAAATTTGTTTTATTTAACAGTACCTATTAGGGCAGGTAACAAATAAAATAGGTTAGGTTCGACTTATGTCAAAGAACCGAATTGATTGACCCCGACTCCACCTGGTACGAGTCTGTCCTACCCCTAGAGTGGTTTTATAGAGCCGGAGGCGCGTAGGGGGAGCAGCCTCCGCCTGCTGTAACAAATCGTAGGCATCGGACGAGCCGGAGCGGCTGAGGCTGGTCGCCGAAGGCGACCAACAAGCCGAAGCTACGGAGGCGAGGAGGGATGCCTGCGATTTGTTACGCTAAGGCGTAGAGGTTGCTCTTCCCGCAGCGCCGGAGACGTAGCAGTCTCAAAATAGATACAAAAATCCTTATGAATCAGTCCTCTTATTTTTTTATGATGAAGGGGATTTTTTTCTCATAAAATGGATTTATATTTACATTATAAATGCAAAGATGAAAAAATATCGATATTTTAGAAATCGATTTTTTGGGAATCGATACATCCACTTACGATTTGAATCGATTTAAAAATCGACCTTTTTCGGAAAGAATCGACATCCCTATTGACGTCGACAATGACATTACAAAATGGCGCCAGTTTATTAGCAGATTAGACATAAACATTGCAAGAATAATTGATTTTCAATTATTCTTTTCTCAAAAATTACGCGTTTCCGTATAATGAAACTTTGTGTGTGTGCTTATAATAGTGTAATCTTTCTGTAAAAATACGTATCAACACCAAACTCCACTGACGTCAATGGAAAGTCGTACCGTATTTTCCTAACCAGTGGTAAATAAATAAATAATTTGAGTTTTTTAAAAAGAATTTCATGTACATTATTATAATAAAGTAATTTCTTTTTATAGAGATGAATATTCAAAAAACTTTCAAAAGGTCATATCCACAAAGTTAGAACACAACAGTTCGAGTTGTATAAAATTAATAGATTCTAAACTTGTGTTATAAAAATAAATATGTTAACATTTGATTCTGATCCGATATAGACATCGCGTTTTTACCACGACCAGCAGTCCAGAACTGAGTAAATATTTTTTGTATGTTCTAATTTTAGATTCATTGAAAACCAAAGCTGAAAACAGTTGCCTGTGGTTAGTAGTTAAGAATACTTCATACAGTTACCCTGTGTATATCGTTACCAGATCAGTTTTGTTGTTTAAATATTATCATCTATATTCCTTTTATACATAAAAATGTTTTCATGTTATGGTAAAAAATTAAAACGGTAAATAAATAACCTATTTTCAATAAAATATCAATTAAAATATGCTGTTCCCTTTAACTTAATAGGTAGTAAGGTATCACATCACATTGCAGTCTTGCTTGGACAGGTTTAATAACCTTTTCTTTGTGACCTAGAGAATATCGAGAAGAAAAGATGGTACATCAAGATGTACAAAGCCATGTATACCTTCATATTATATTTCTTTGTAGCAGTTTATAGCAGTTGCAAAATGTAAGACATATAAAGTAAAGGTAAGATTGTCGCAGGCTTGTCTCTTGAGCTCCACAACAAAGTGTACATCATAAATTTTCTATGTAGGCAGAAATATTCAATCCAACCTAGCTTTTCATACAATCCCAGCAGATTGACCCAGATATGTCAAGGTATTTAATTGTGCAGGCAATTATTGGGTATCTGACCAGGTCATGAACCACTGTACTGCCCATAACACGTACCACTGCTTATCAGAAAAAGTGTCTTCACAATAGTTTGAATTGAGGTTTTTTTAAAGGAAGTAGTGCTGATGTGAAGTGGGCTAACCTCTACCACTACTAGCCGCATTTTTCCGCTTGTGAGAGTGAGAGTTAATAATGGTGATTTTTTGCCGACTTCCAAAAAGGAGACGGTACTCAATTCGACTGTATGTTTTTTTTATGTGTCCTTATTGTTAAATATGGTTAGTGCGTATCTCGACTTTCTCGACATCGCATGTGCAGTCGAATTGAGTACCATCTCCTTTTTGGAAATCGGCAGAAAAGATTCGTCTATTTCGATGCGAGATATCTAGATATCTATAAAGTAAAAAATTTAAACTTATGTTTAAGACGGCACTTGTAAAATACTACCCATAGTAGTTGAAAACTTTTAAGGGTAATTTAGAAACATCATTATTAGGGAACACATTAAAAGAAAAAAATCCGGTCTAGGCATTAAACTGCGGACGTGATGACCACAAATGTGAGCAGAAGTACGAATTTTCGGAATTTTATAAAACATTGCGTAGACCGCGAACCGTTCGGGATAGAATTTTTTTTAGGAAACCTAGGTCACCTCCCCACCGCCCGAACAGGTACGTACCAGATTATCCACCATTACTGGGACAACCTGTATACGTATACAAATGAGCCACTAGTTTTATGGAACCTGTACTTTGGAAACAGCAAATTTATATTTATTAAGCATGTTAAAATTATCTTTTTTTTTTCAATGTTATTAATAGTGTCTTATATGAGTAATATTATTGTTATGCAACATTTACAAATTCGTGTAGCAAAGACGAGTAGGCACAAGTACGAGCATATAAACGTCTTGTTCCAGTGTTCTCACTGCTTGGCTCGAGTATTCACCTATTCGCCACTTGATGTCGCTTTTTGTCAGAGTAAGAGGACTGCGTATCGTTGTTTACATACTCGTCATTATTCACTTGTAGGGTTGCCACCCGTTGCTATTTTGGGCTAACATGCTTTGTACTTTATGAGACCAATAAAGTACATAAAAATACTTTATTTTACCTAAGGTACGTTGGGGTAATACCGGACGGATTTTCGAATAGTTGGAAGAGTCTGCCAAAAACTTTAATTTCTCGACATTCGTATATGTCAGATTTATGGAACATGGAGCAAACCGTTAATCGTTAAACGTAGTTTAGCTCTGAGAATCTTTTGCTTGTGTAAACTCAACGGTTTCTGCTTTAAAGGTGTGCGAAAACTAGACATACTTTTTTATATGCATAATGAAAAATTAGCCATTAAGGGGTAAGACCGGACTTAAATATAAAACCACTTCTACTGCTTAGAGAAAAAAGTTTATAAAAGAGATTTGTCCTATCTTTAACGCTCAAAAACATATTTCAATATGATCTATAAATTACTAGCAACATAAATGTTCCAAACGATTTTCTCTTTTTTTGTTTCTTGCCATCCGATCTTATCCCTGATATAAAGAAATTGTAATTTTATGTTTCTCAAACTTTGTTATGACATAAGATGGAATTACTCAATATAAGAGAAAGATCGGATGCATTTGATTTTATATGGGAAAAAAAATAACAGTAAGGACTGGCGAAATGCCCTGGGATAATGCAGGAGTTAAGGAAGATATAAATATTTTAACAAAGCGGCATTTATTATTATAAATTATTTTTTAAATAATTATTATAAATTACATTTTTATTTGTAATAGAGGATAGATATAGATGTCTATGGGCCGCAGCAATCACTTAACATCAGGTGGACTGTGTGCTCCTTTGTCAACCTTATCCTATAAAAAAAATGTATTTTAATGTGTACTTAAAAGTAATAAAACCATCGTATTGTTTTATTACTTTTAAATATACAGACTTGCTATCGAGACTGAGTCCCATAGTCACTTGAGTAATCAACGAAAAAATATACACGACCAATGAAAGTTTAACAACCACTGCCATATTTGTAACAGGCAAAGATCGGATAATATTCATCCGATCTTCACTCACGCGGGGAAACATCGGATCTCGGCCTACAGCGATCTTACCCCTGCATGGACCAGCTTTATTTAGCTATTACTTCATAAAAATTAGTATCCACACAAAGTAATAACAAAAGAAGCCATATTCTCGCTAAAAATCGTAAATAAAAGTGATAGGGAAAGATCGGATGGACAAAAATAATACAAAAATTACATTGTTTAATAAATGCCACGCAGCACAGGTCCCACTTGCCGGAGTGACTGGCGCGAACTGAGGGTCGGGGCAGGATGAAATGGCGTCGTGTAGCATATTGTTAGCTATTCAAAATATAGCATAATTCGCCGGGAATTTGAATCCTACGGTCTTGCCCCATCACCGATCTTACCCCAACGTACCTTAATTTACGATTTTTTTAAAATTTAATGGTTATTAAAAGGACAAATTATATAAATACATTACTTAATGCTGTCAATGATACACAACGAGTTATATAAGAATAAGTTATATGCGCTTCAGTTTTATTTGCTTCATAATAGTGGCAAAATATTTTTTTTCTATGTAGTATTTAATGATTTTGTACTTTAGTTCAAAATCGAGACATGTCTACTATCCTTCCCATCACTTAGCGGTATCTACCGTAACAACCTATAAAAGTCCACTGCTGAACATAGGGCTCCCCAAAGATTTCCTCATATAGTGATATTGGCCATAGTTGCCACGTTTTCCAAGAGGGTTAGCAACCGCAGTTTTTCATTTTTAGTAGTTATTGGGAAGAAGCTGCCCGTCTCCTGATTTTTTCTCTCATTTGCCTCTTACGATACCCACGGGAGGATATAACCTACACTGCTACTACACAATAAATTCTAGGGGATGGGATGAAAAGAACAGTGTTATCTTAACTTAGACATAGAATGTAGATAAAGATAATGTGTGGAAAAAATAGCATGTCAAATAAATAATACTTTATTTTCACTTGTCGTACTTTATTTTTTTAGCTTAGATAAGTATATACTATTTTTTTTTACTCAAAAAAATTTGGCAACCCTATTCAATTTTTTTCGACCAGTGAACTGTGATTCGACCAGTGTACTTTAAAACTATTTTTCTTATACACCGTGACGTGGAACCCGTGATGTGAGGTACTAGAAATCAGTTTTAAATAAATATTAATGAAAATCATTACAATCCTTCACAAGTCTACTGCTTAACTTATCGTTTCAGACCCCATCGTTTACCAATCATGTTTTTGCATGGCTGAAAGTTATACTAGCCTTTTCATTTTGTTTTCTATCTTTATTCCAGTTCCCTTTATTGTCCAAGGTAAGCCCTATAATTTTACCTCAGAGGATAGCTGGAGTTTTGTGCTGAAAAGACTTGGGACATGATAGTTATTCAGCATTAGTTTTGTGTGAACATTACTAGGACCGTTTTATTTGGGTTAACGGTTAAGCCATATTCCCTGCACCATCTCCACTATCTGGAGAGCCGCTTGGTTCCTTAACCAAGCGGCTCGCGTGGTCGCACACCATGCTTGCTGTCTTGAGACCAGTATTGTCAGTTCGTCTGCATAACCTACTGTGTAGAAATGATTGGCATTTAATGTGCTGATGAGTTCATTAATGACCACAGGAGAGGTGTAAGAACCCCACCCTGCGGGAGACTTTCGTGATCTGGATTGTTTGAGATTCACCATCAATTTTTATTCTTCGTGTGCTGCCCAGTCACTAAATTAGTGCTGTGTATGGTCCTTCTCCGGTCGAGCTAATCTATTTATGCTGCAGACATAATACACTGCAGTGTGGCTCTAGAATTTAATGAATCATTTACTTTATAATCAAAAAAAAGTGGAAATACATTTAAGATAATCAAATTTTTATTACAGTCATAAAATTTAAATATAATTGCTTCTTTTAGTCACAACACTGGCACATCACACTGGCTAGATCCCAGACTGGCTCGAGTCCGGAAGCATTCACTGGGCGAGTGCGGCGAAGACGAGCTCCCATATGGGTGGGAGAGGGTCACTGACGAGCGCTATGGCTCCTATTATGTCGACCATATTAACAGGCGTACCCAATATGAGAACCCAGTTCTCCAGGCTAGAAGATTAAGGGGTAAGTTAATTAATCTGTTCCATACAATATGTTTAACAGCTTTGCTGATTGGCTATAATATTATTAAAGATCGGGAAAGAGAATCCATTAGGGATGGGCAAGGGAAAAAATATATCGATATATATCGAATCGTAGTTTTAAACAGTATCGTATATATTGCGTGATAAATATTGATATATCGTCAACATTTGCATGATGTAAAGATAAGGCCAAAATTTTACATTACTGACCGTTGGACGAGGAAAAAAAAACGGCAACCACCCACACATGAATACTTTTGTACCTCCTTTTGTTGTTAAATTTTTTGTCATTAATACAACATTTTAAAATATATCTTACGAATTCGATACTCTAAAATAAATATCGATATATCGCGGTTTAAAATATCGACGATATATATCGATATTTTTATTAAAAATTATCGATGTATCGATATTTTTTGCCCTAGTCTAGAATCCATCACCTCATTGCATCTCACGGGTGTTGTAAGAGGCGACTATGGGATAACCAACTATTTAATGTCATATCTTTACGACGTGTAGCATTATCAGAGTTGGAAGACATCTAGTACTGCTATTGCCAATCGGACTGCCATGCGTTGAGATTACTGTAAATCCTACAAATGGGGCAGCTCATGTCTAGCATTAAACAAGCTAAAAAGAGATATCTACATAAGTTTTATAACACTGAAATGATAAAACAATCTTAAAGTCCACCTAATGGTAAGGGTCTACTCCAGTCCAAGGACACCCACAGCCAACTTCATACAAAGGAGTTGCATTGTCACCTCTTCTCTCGCATTGTCAGCTGTCCTGCTCTCTTCTCTTAGATGGAATGCCTCACAGTATGTGCAATACTGGCTCACTCCCCCCTTCAGACCGGAACACAGCAGAGCTATTAGGAGCCAGAAATATGTTAGAGGGTGGTATCTACTTGAACGGACTTCTAGGCAAAAAAGGAGTCCCGTTACCTAGTACATTTTAACTAATACAAGTCGCGGCACGTAAGTCTAGCGCTTAACGAAACGTGGAAGGGGCGCGAACGAATTGAATTGCACGAATGTGACTGGAGGGACAATCAGCGCGTGCAAACCATACGCACGAGCCAATCAGCGCGACTTAAGCACAATAAGCCAACCAGCGCGACTGTGCAATAACGGTCACCGCTAGACTTTCGTGCCGCTATTTATACTGCATTGAAATTTTGTCTTCTTTCTATGCAACCAGAAAAGTTGGAAAAGTCAAAAAAAGAGTCAGGTAATCCTTTTTCTTTTTAACGCAATTCAAAAAAGGAGGTTCTCAATTCGAACGCATGTTTTTTTTTGTATCTATGTTACGCAATATTTTCGCAGATTGTAAACCAATTTTGATGATTCTTTTTTTATTAAATAGGTTATACTTCAAGGGTGGTCCCATATAAATTTAGACAAAAAATTTCACCCCTAAGGGTAGCAAATAACTAATTTCTTTTTTAACAATTTGAAGTCGGTTTTACTTATTGTTAAAAGTTATAATTATTTATAATTATGTCGTATGTTACATATAAAAAGGCATGCTATCTTTGTTCTCAGGGGTGAAATGCACTGTGCACATGTTTGATTCACTCATCACTTACTGTCACGCGAACTGTATGTGCTCGTTTTTCACTTTTATTTGGCTAAAAAATAATATGAAATAACGAACCTATCCGCAAATTTAGAAACAACTTTAGAGTAAAAGAGTTACAAAGAAGCTTAAAGTGTAGTTAGCATATTACTGTAAGGTATAAAGTTTTTTATTAGTGATCGATTTTTTTTTTATAGGATAAGGGTGACAAACGAGCACACAGTCCACCTGATGGTAAGTGGTTGCTGTGGCCCATAGACATCTACACCTATCTTCGATTATGAATGAATATGCAGATGCGTTGTCACCCGTGAGGACTAAGATGGAATGCCTCGTTTCCAGTAAAAAGGGTCTCCGGTTCTCTACACTCACCATACGAAACACAGCAGCGTTAAGCTGCTATTTGACGCTGGTATTCTGTGAGAGCGTGGCCCTTTCCCGGTCGAGCCGACCCATTCGTGCTACAACCATAATATAGCTGCAGCATCGCTCTACCACGTCTAAATCGATGGTATAAAGTTATTAAGTTCCCATTTGGAGGTTGCAGTAATGAGTGCAAAATTTGAATGACCATAGGATTTCAACATACTTGTGCCATAAACAGATTTTGGCCCGACCACTAGACAAAGATTTAGTCAGAATGTGTGTATGCAGACTAGAATTGCCACCTTTTTTTGAACAAATATAGTGTTCTTCCCAAAAAACATATAAAAAAATAGTACTTTTGAGAAATTCAGAAAAAAAAATAGTACACATTTATTTTTAACCTTTATGTATTTTTCCATGTACAATTGTTATTGCTCTTCGCTTTGGCCAACAATGATCTACCTTTAAAACAATTATAGGAATCTGAGCAATTTAAATTCATATAAAATAAATTAACAATTCAATAATAATTAAATTAGTACATGCTCTGTTTCTTTCTTCTTTCCATTTTACATTCATGACGGAAAAATTATTTCCGTAAAACTTACTTGTTCCAGACTTCCAATCACAATTAATATAAAAAAGTGACAGTTGAATTAGAGATAAAAATATAGTATTTTTCGTACTATATTATTTTTCTATAACATATAGTACAATTATTGACTGAAATATAGTACGGGTGGCAACCCTAATGTAGACATACGTGCCTGCATGGCCACTAGTTACACTTAATTTAACTCCCCTGTTAGATGGTAGAAAGTATGAGATAGTTCTGCTGTCATAAATAAAAAGAAATCTCTTTCCCCTGCTCTTAATGCAAATAAAGCCTAGTCCTTCGTTTAGTTTCCTAAAATGAGAAGGTAATGAACATATTATTTTAGAATGTTAAGTGTTCATCACCAAAGTCCTTTTACCGTTGATAAAAACTCTGAATTAATATCGATTTCTTTTATGAATTTGTGCGAAAATAGTAATATAGATAAGGGATGATAAATGCAGAATGATAATACCTTAATCCTTTACTTTTATACCCACTGCTTAGCGCCTTTTTCTTTCTTTTTTTTCTATTATTACTCTATATTTATGCTTGTATCGGTTTTGTTATTTCCTACATCGTGACGTGCATCTTTGGCCTTGCTCGACACGAAGCAACACGAAGTCCTGTTTGAGTGCTGCACCGTTGCACCAGAAGCAAATAGTAATTATTCCAATCAAAGCAGAAATACAAAATAAAACTTTATTTACAGTTTCACAAGGTACAATTATTATGGTTTTAATAGCTATTACTTTCTATTTAGAACCGTATCCGCCGTATCTTTACTAACAAGCATATTCTTTATTAGTTTATAACCGTGTGAAAATTGCACCACCATTGCTATATTTGATTACAAATTAAATCGTTCGAAGCATTTATAAGACTTTGTAAAGGCTACAATAACAATTATCAATAGGATTTTTTAGTGCTGTTGTATTCGTCATCGCACTCATATCACAAATCCTCTGCAGAAATATGTAAGTGGCGACAAAATGAATGGCATTCTAAAGAGGATATCTTTAGAATGCCATTCATTTTGTCGTCACTTCATTGAATGGGAGTTCGTACAACACAAACACTGCGTTAGTTGGTACGAGGCTGCCATATTAGAACTTTCTTCCTAGATGGTTTGTCGAGCTAGTCGCCACTTCAGCTTACTGATCCGTCGGGCTATGTCGGTTAAAATCTGACAAATCGTGCATTATTTTCAAACATCCTTCAATAAACAACATCATACTTAGAGTTAATTTTATCCGGTTTTTAACGCACGGTAGCGCAGTGGCTAAACATACGGCTACGGTACTGCGGGTTACGAGTACGATTCCCTAATGGTAATAACTTAAAATAAATGTTTCGAATCTGGGTTTTTTGCCGTGTGTAAGTTATATAAGGAAAGAAAAGAAAAAGATCATAATTTAAAATTAAAAATTTTGTTCAACCGACTTCAATATAAATTATTAACAATAACTCAAAAAATATTGGTCAAATCTTGATCAAATTTATATGGGACCACATGTGAAGCACAGGCTTTCAAATAAAAAAAACAATCATCGAAATCGATTCACCCAAAAAAAGCTATGAGGTAACCACACATAAAAACATAAGTCGAATTGAGTACCTCCTCCTGTTTGTAGTCGGTAGATAAAAAAGGGAGCAATTCTAAACAAGTGGAGTGGAGGACAGAGTGCAGAGTTGGCACGTGGAATGTTAGAGGAGGCATGAGAGATAAGACGAATGAGTTGATCGAAATAATGAAAGAAAGAGAATTAGATGTCGTGTGTATGTCGGAGACCAAACGGAAGGGCAGTGGTACTGAAGAGCTCCCTGGCGGGGCGTTAGCTCTATGGTCCGGAGTCCCGGAGAGCGCGAACGCCTGCCAGGGAGTGGGGGTGCTGCTGTCTTCTCGGTTGGTCGATGTTATGACTGAATATAAGGTTGTGAACTCAAGACTTCTCTGGGTTCGCTTTAAATTGGGACTGACGAAGTTATTCCTTTTGGCTGTTTATGCGCCGGTAGCTTCGTCGTCCAGGGCTGAGCTGGAGGAGTATTGGGAGAATGTAAGAGAAGTTCTAGATTTGGCTAATGAAATTGAATGGAAACGAAAGAATTGTTGTATGTGGTGATTTGAATGGATGGGTTGGTACCGTTCGACCAGGGTACGAGTCGGTACTTGGAAAGTTTGGCGATAAAAGGGTTAATGATGCTGGCAAGCTTATACTGGCGGTGTGCAAGGAAAAGGGTCTTCTTGTGACAAACACTATGTTTAATCACAAGAAAATCCATATGTATACTAGAGAACGAAAGAATGAGAGAAGTATGATCGATTTGTTCCTGGTGGATGACCGACTGCGAAAACAGGTGATGGATACGCGAGTGTTTAGGGGTGCTGACCTGGGAACGGATCACTATCTAGTGATTACTAGATTTAGGGGTCTGTTCGCGGGTTGGCGCTACCGGACGGCAGTAACAGAACCACAGTCGGTCTGTAGCATCCGAAGCTGGAAGCTTCAGGAGGCGGATACTAGGGACAAATATCATGCGAGGGTAGCCGAAAAGCTTGACACCATCGATGGCAGAAAAGAATGTGTAGAAAGAACATGGCAGAACCTTAGGGATGGAATGGTAAGTGCAGCGGAAGAAGTGTGTGGAACAATAAAAAGAGGCAGTAGTAAAAGAAGAGATGCATGGTGGAATGATGAAGTGAAAGAAGCTGTAAAGAAGAAGAAGAAAGCATGGTTAGACTACTTGGCCTCTAGTAATGATAAGGATATGAGAGAGAAGATGAAAGAAAGATATAGGCTGCAGAAAGTTCACACGAAAGCACTGATTGAGGAAGTGCGTGAAAGGTGTAGAATGGAAGCGGACGAAAGGTTGTCGCACAACTTCAAGGAGAACTCCAAACTCTTCTGGAAAGAGGTTGGAAGGACCCGAAGTGGTGCGACGGCCTTAAGAATGAACAAAGTGCTTTCGAGAAGTAATGACGTCCTCTCAGAAAAATCGGACGTCATGCAGCGATGGAGCGAATTTTATAGAGAAATGTATGCGTGTGATGATCTTAGTGAGGGATCCGGGGATGACGCCGTGACTGGTACGCCAGACCCGGACCTCGATGACACTGAGGTCATCAGGATGAAAGAGATTGAACGTGCGATTCGAAGTTTGAAATGTGGTAAGGCTGCGGGACTAGACAGAGTTACTGCTGAAATGGTCAAGTATGGTGGGCCTCGCGTCTGGGACAGCTTTCATCTGCTGTGCAATTTGTGCTGGCGGACGGGGGATGTCCCGGATGATTGGCGATCCGCAGTCATTGTGCCTTTATATAAAGGTAAAGGTTCACATTTTGACTGCGGGTGCTATCGGGCGATCAGCTTGACCAGTTTAGCAAGTAAAGTTTACTCGAAGGTTTTGACACGTAGGATGCAAGAGAAATCGGAAAGATTTCTATGGGAGGCACAATGCGGATTTAGACCTGGAAGAGGATGCACGGATCAAATGTTTTCTCTCCGCATGATCACGGAGAAGCTTCTGGCTGCTAACCAGAAGATTTTCTGTGCTTTTGTGGATCTTGAGAAAGCATTTGATAAGGTTGTAAGGAAGAAAATGTGGGAACTGTTGCCGGGGTATGGTGTGGATGGTCGATTGCTAAGGGCTGTGCAGTCTCTTTACTGTGACTGTAAAGCCTGTGTGCGGGTAGGGCATGACCTGTCACCCATGTTTAACGTCCAAACGGGCGTAAAGCAGGGTTGTGTCATGTCTTCCTGGCTGTTCATACTGTATCTCGACAGCTGTTTACAGAAGCTGAAAGATAGTTGTTTGGGTGTGAAATTGGGTGACATTAAAGTAAATTGTCTGCTGTATGCTGATGATGCAGTGCTTATTGCACCATCAGAGGCAGAACTACAGGCATTAGTCACGTGTATGAAAGAGGAATGTGAAATTAAAGGTCTCCGTTTGAATGCTAATAAAACTAAGGTTCTGGTATTTGAAAGGGACGAAGAGAGAACGAAGTGTGAAATATGGGTAAATCAGGAATGTCTAGAACAGGTAAATGAAATTGTATACTTGGGGAGTGCTTTTAGCCGGGATGGAAGATGTGATTTAGATGTGGACAGGCGTGTCGCTGCCGGGAACAAAGTCAATGGTGCCCTGACTGCGTTAGTCAAAAGGCAAGGCGTAGCGAAGAGTGCACGCCTTGCAATACATAACGCAGTGTTGGTACCGACTTTGTTATATGGCAGCGAAACCTGGGTATGCCAGAAGAAGCATAAAAGTAAGTTGAATGCAGTGGAGATGCGATCTCTTCGTAAAATGTGCGGCGTTACCATGGCCGACCGAAAGCGAAACGAAGAGATTCGCAATATGGCAGGTTTGAAAGATGACCTTATCACAAAAATTGATAAGGGCGTGCTTCGGTAGTTTGGGCACGTTGAGCGAATGAGTGAAGACCGAATGGTGAAGAAAATATATAGCGCGAAAGTTAATATTAAAAGGTGTCGAGGTAGACCGAGACTAACTTTCGAAGACCATGTGAGCAAATTGCTCGAAGAGGGTAGGGTCAAAAGTACTCGGATACCTAGACGTGCATGCATGAAGAAGATAATGAATCTGAAAGAAGCGAAAGAGGTTTGTAAGGATCGTGACACTTGGCGATCTGTTCTCTCTGGCTACCCCGTCAGGGATTGTGCGTGAAGATAAGTATAAGTATAAGTATAATTCTAAACAAAGCTAACAAACGTGTAGTCTCCCCTGAAGGCTTACGTGGGATGCCCCTTAGATTGGAAAAAACACTTATAGTAATGTGTGTTTCCCTCTCAAATCAAGCAGTACACATTGAATGATAATATAATCACATTTTAATTTTCAGCCGAGAAATTAGCCGCTGAGAATGGGGCCAACAACCAACCCAACGGTCCACCTCTAACGGGGGAACTGCGCGGTGAGCGGTTCACGCTCACTCTAACGAAAGGCACTCAGGTATCGTACATAATCGATTTGATTTATAAACTGTACATAATGTGCGATTTTTAAACTCTCTCGCTACGCCTTTTTAGTAATTATAAGAAACCTGTTTTGTTATGCAGTCTGCTTTTTGTGATATAATATATTTGTGTTTAATTATTAACTGAAAGAAGTTGCGCATGCGTCGTGTTTTTGTAATCAAAGATATTTCGATGAAATAAATGTTACCGTTATATCTTATCAAATGTCCATTGCTGAACACAGGCCCTCCCCCATTGACGCCGCATTTGCCATAGTTTCCACGCTTGACATATGGTTTATCTTTTATTTTTTAGTTATAAATATTTATTTATTTGCTTTTCAGTATATAATATGTTACATGAGATATTGTTATGTATATATACTAAGTCCCTAATGGAGACATGCTAATTTATTTATTCTTAGAATTTATAAACTTATGCAAAATTAACACATCAAAATCAATCATTAAATTCGCGACACCAAACAATCCATCCAATCATGTCAAATGTTATCAAAAGTACAATTATAGGAAAAAATTATAATTAACAAATAAAGAAAATTAAATTAAACTATTATATACCATGTCAGTTAATAACAAAAAATGTCAATTATGAGCTAGAGTCCTATAAAAAGTTGTCATCAGTAATTTAAGAACTCATTTACCGTGTAAAATGTATTTTGAAGAGGCCGCTGGTATAATTTTTTTTAAATATAGTATAGGAAGATATTTAATTATGTTTGGTATTTTATTATATATTGTTTTACGCATCTAGTAACAACTTTTGCTAAATTGTTTTTTTTTTTTTTTACTTTTGCTGCCTATCTCCTGACTTATTTTCCTCTGTCGCCTCTTACGACACCCACGGGACGATATGGGTAAATGAATATTCTTACACAAACTGTATACAGTGAGAAACAAAAGTTGATTAAATCAAAAGTACTACATACTAGCTCAGCACAATCAAATTTAGGTCTTTTGCACGTGATATTCACGCGACTACGTAACAGTTCAGTACTGACTGTGGGTCTCTTTAATTTTAGAAAAGTTTTGCCATTATCGTCATGCATGGCTGATTGGCGTTTGCAGTAACTGGCGCCTCGCACCTTCAACGCTGCTAACCGTCATCAGTATGAGTATTTAACATCTGACTTATACGAGAGTAGCCGCCATAGCTCTAAAGTCTTGAAATCTTTCGAAATCTCCCTTACACCTCGTTTTCCCAGTTGTCGGGTGTTGGACCCACGAAGACGAAGCTTGGCAGTCTATGCGAGGCGACTGTACACGATGGGCGAAGCTTTTGTTGTGATGTATTATTTTAGAAGAAAATAAAGAAAACAAGCTATGAGTACAATAAAAACGCAACAACTCTGCGTGTGCGCCGCGATATAGAGGATTGCCGGGCCCGACATCCGACGTAATGTGAACAGTGCCATACTTATTCATAAGCGAACGATATCTGACACGATGTTTAACGAAATGTTGGTGCATAGATTTGGTCGCTGCACTGACGCTGTCAAGACCACGCTTCAAAGCATATTGTGCTTCATTTTATTCTTGCAGCCTATGGACCAACTACACCAAAAAGGCCTATAGTGCCCTACGTACTCAAACTCAATACAATAATGCATTCAGGGCGCTGTTGCGGCTGCCGCGCTAATGTAGCGCGTCTGCGATGTTTGCACTGGCGGGTGTGGATAGCTTTGATGCAATAATCCGAAAAAAGACCGCATCGTTGCTAAACAGAGTGCGCGGCAGCGGCCACAGTGTGCTGAGTGAGATTGCCGACAGTGAGGATTGTCCACTGATTAGACAAATGATCGCCAGGACTATGTCCTGCTTAATAATAAAGTATTAAGTACAAATTATATTACTAACATAGATGTAAGTTTTTTCTCTACTAACAAATTCTATGGATCTTGTTGTCCGAAATAAACAATTTTTATTTTATTATATTAAATATAATATATATTAAATTTTGACGGACTTAGAGAGCTGGAAAGACATCTGACATTTCTTGTCGGCGCCGACAAAATAACGGTGTCGGATAAGTGTGAACAGCTTCATATAAAATGTACTGCCACTAAAGCAGCCGATTTTCTGTCCAACCCGACACCCGACAAGTGGGAACGGGCTCTTACAGTGCCCAGTTGAGTTGGGTCCGTCGACTTACCTCTCGAACCAATTTTATAATTATATATTATTGGTCTAGTGGTCATAACCGCGATCGCTGATTATGAGGTGCCGGGTTTCTAATCCCGGGTCAGGCCGAATTCTCAGTTATTGGGTTTTTCTGTCAAGAAATTCTCACTAGCAGCCTGGATTTGGTAAGTTGGCTGTTTCACCCTCGGAAAACACGTAAAGCCGTTGTTCCTGTGCCTGATCTCTCTCTGGTCGTTTCGGATTACCGTTCCATCGGACTATGAGAGTGAGGGAATAGAGAGTGAACCTGTGCTTGCGCATACACTCGGGCACTATAATATAATTCTGTCCTGCGCAGATGACTAGTCTACGTTGAGACTGGCCGCCGTGACAAACTCGGTGTGGAGGACATTATTATATAATCGTGGACGTTTTTCTACTTGCACAATTATTAATACTACAATAATAAACTTAATGTCGCATTGTTAAGTTATATTTTTGTTAGTATTGTGTATCGTCTGTTGGTGATCCAAATAAAAAGAAAAAAAAATAGCACTACACTCAATAATCATTTACAATTATATATTTATACAGCCCAACCAAATGAGAAAACTATATAGATACCCCATAACTTAATAAAACATTTAAGGGCTGAATTGCGACATGTCCAGATGAATCGGGAAGCCTGGTAACTTAAGACATATGCATCTTTATCTTATGTAGTCTTATGAAAAAGTTTGAAAATTGAGTAGAGCAACACAACACGGTTCAATTTTACGTTTTCCTAGGCGATCACATTAAAACTTTTTCGTGGTAGAACCACGTTCAAACTGTTTACCAGGGCAAAATAGCGTAATGATGTTGTGTTTCAAATAGTGAGCAATGAGAACCGAAGACTTTACTGGTGAAAAGACATTGCATCTTAGTTCTAATGGGTGACTTTAGCATTCTGATTCTTAATCGAGGATAGATAGATGTAGGTGTATATGGACCACAGCGTCCACTTACCATCAGGTGGATTGGTGTGTTTGTACGTGGTAGAACCACGTTCAAACTGTATACCAGGGCAAAATAGCATAATGATGTTGTGTTTCAAATAGTGAGTAATGAGAACCGAAGACTTTACTGGTGAAAAGACATTGCATCTTAGTTCTAATGGGTGACTTTAGCATTCTGATTCTTAATCGAGGATAGATAGATGTAGGTGTGTATGGACCACAGCGTTCACTTACCATCAGGTGGTTTGTGTGTTCGTTTATCACGCTTACTTCTATAAAACACGTCTGTTCCATTCCAACATGCTGTGAAATACGACATATGAGAATTTGAAAGGTCAACTTCTACTTTTTTTCTTCTGTTTCAGGGTCTGGGCTTCACTTTAATAGGAGCTGAAGGTATACCGGAGACAGAGGGCTATCTACAAATACGTAGTATTGTACCGCATAGCCCGGCTTGGATAGATGGTGAGAAACTAAGTCCAATTATTTTAAAAAAAATTGTTTTAGTTTTGTTAATGTAGGTCTCTACATACGTCGTACTTGGCACAGCCATCCTCTCATTTTTTATTGCTCTATATAATAAATACATCATACATACTAGACATATAGGGCTACCTATTGCCTCCACCTTCATTACCATCAATGGCAACCAAAAAAATAGCAATGGCAATTGCTATTGGTAATTGTGGGAGGGAGGGAGATGCTCTGGAAACAGTACACACAATTAGCATTTATTGTTAACTTGCTTTTTTCCGCGACTTCGCTCGCGTGCGCTTTAATTTCGGAACATCATCACTGGTTCTTGCCAAAATTAGCAAATTAGATCACTTGTGGAATCAACTCGGTGTCTGTGTCTCTGTCTCTCACAAAATAATTCTCAGAGACTATTTGACGTAGACTATTGATTTTTAACATAGTTATAATATGCTACAGGAATACAGAAGTGACTTTTTATAGTCTAAATATTTTTTATTCACAGAAAAGACTGATGTATATGTACATTATTATATAATAAGTAAGATACATTTATTGTTCATGCAAGATTAAGCATTGGCTTTTTGCGCGCTATAACTGACGTAGAAAGTTGACTTTTAACTTAAATGTATACATAAATAAAAAACCGGCCAATTGCGAGTCGAACTCGCGCGTGATGAGTTCCGTACCATCGTACAAGATTTAATACTATGTATGCAAAAAAAAACCACATTTCTATTAGGGGAGCCCCCTTTAATTTTTAATTTACTTTATTTTTTATTATTTTTTGTTATAGCTGCAATAGAAACACACATTCTGTGAAAAATTCAACTGTCTACCTATTACAGATCATGAGATACAACTCGCTGACAAACGGACGGACTGCGGAGGCTTAGTAATAGGGTTCCGTTGTTTACGCTTCGGGTACGGAACCCTAAAAATGGTTACTTTGTGATTATCCCGTTGACCTCTTAATGCTATTTCAATTTATTTATGGTTAACGATTATATCAATATAATGTACGCGGCTAAGGGGTGGGGTTTTTTATTTATAAGCGCCTGTTGTGTTTTCATCTGTTTAAAAAACTTCAACCAAAAGTTTTGATATGACAATGAGTTTGCCGAAATGGTTGAATTAACATTGCATATAAACATTGTTCTTTATTCTTTTCCATATTCTTTAAACCTCTATGTTTACGTTTCTCCTAGAATAACTCGTATTTTTACGACGTATTTACGGTTACTGTGGTATATATGAAGAACGAATTAGACCGCACCAGCGTCTTAGCATTATAAGGCGTTATTGTGCTTGCTTTCAAAAAAAAATCACAAAGCTGTTTTTTATCTATGCAGCCGGTTCTTCTGCCCTGTCCAGCATTCGACCCGAGCACCGAACTCGGGACCACACATCAGCAGTTGCACTTTCGACTACTCGACCATAGAGACAATCACTACTATGTATACCCAGTAATTTACACTACTATATTACCTACCTAACCTACACGGAGCCGTCATTACATATTATATACATATTATACCTATAATATGTAATGACGGTTCCGTGGCGCAGTGGCTTAGCAATGAGTTGCTGCGCTTGGGGCCGCGGGTTCGAATCCCGCACGGAACAAGTATTTGTATGGCCTACAAATAATTGTTCCGGGTCTGGATGTTGTCCTTGTGCAATTTGTGTTTGTAAACTGCCTCCACGATACAGGAGAAAATCCTAGTGTGGGGGTAACGTTTTAAATTAAATTAAATTAAATATCCAGAATATTTCATAAAGAGTCGACTCACTCGCTGACTGATATGGTCGTCTTTTCACTTGCCAATCGCGGCAAAATCGCCAAATCACTCAACAGTGACTTAGTCTGTATTGAATACAAACTGAAAATGAACTAATTTACTATATATATTACTATTAATTTCAGGCGCCCTCCGGCCTGGTGACGTAGTGGTGGGAGTGGGAAACCGTGCTGTTAGGGGTCTATCCCACGCACAAGTCGCCCAGATCTTTCAGTCCATCACTCCCGGCACAGATGTCACATTACATCTTGTTAGAGGTTAGTTAGTATTAAGCAAGAGTAGTTATAAGGTTAAGGGTAAAAATAAGTTAATGATATTTACATTATACATCCTACTACGGGGCACAATTCTCCTTTCATTTCTAAGTGGAGTTCACGTGTCCTCGAAATATTTAGTCCTTGAACATGCAGGTTCCCTCATGATGTTTTCTTTCCACGACGAGCATGTGGTAAATCAGCACTTAAAATTAAAATAAACGACCAATCAAATTGTTAAATTTAATTACGTTACAAGCCTAGGATCGATTCAAAATCATTGATGCCGCTGATTGATTGAACCCGGTACGCTTGCGTACTGAGAGATTAACCCCTGAGCTTGAGCGCTTAGCCCCTGTGCTATCATATCTCTTAAAAATATAGTTATATTATTAAAAAATATTTATTCACTATATCCCATTACAAGTCCAGTGCTGAACATAGGCCATCCACATAGATTGCTTTATAAGGGGGAATATGTCATAGTTGCCAAGCATGGCAGGCGGGTTGACAACCGAAGTTTTTATTATTATTAAGTTGTTGTCAGAAAAGATCTATCTATCTCTAACGACACCTACAGGATAATAAAAATGCTATGAATATATTTAAATAAAACTAATTTTACGGATTTTATCGCGTATCGTTACTGTTTTTTGTACTGCGTAGATCGGAACAAAAATTAATAATTTTTAATCTGGAGGTAGCCGTGGTTAAATATGACATTGGGACGTTGTACACCTCAGTCCCCCCGTGACCATGTGTGCTGTAAAGTACTTGAAATGTCGGTTATGTAAAATAAGTTAGTGTACTCGATAAAATCCGTAAAATTTGTTATTTAAATGTGTAGTGTTCGCGTAAATATAAGAAATCATTATAGGATGAATATAATTAATTTGTAATCAAGTAGTGGCGGTGTAAGAATGTCAATTAACCTATATCATCCCGTAGGTGCCGTTAAAGGTGACAAAGGTAAACAAATCAGGAGAATGGTAGCAGCGTCTTCCTAATAACGACCAAAAATAAAAAACTGCCGTTTGCAACCCGCTTGCCAAGCTTGGCAACTATGGCAAATATCCTCCCGATGAGGCAATCTATGGGGTGGCCTATGTTTTTGTTTATAGAATAAGGGTGACAAACAAGCACACAGTACACCTGATGGTAAGTGGATGCTGTGACCCATAGACATCAAAAGAAATAAGAATCAAAATGCAGATGCGTTGTCACCCCTGAGGACTGAGATGGATTGCCTCAATTCTAGTAAGAAGGGTCTCCGATTCCCTGCACCCACCATTCGAAACACAGCAGCATGAAGCTGCTATTTTACGCTGGTATTCTGTGAGGGCGTGGTCCTACCCTTGTCGAGTCGACCCTTTCGACTACCACTATAATATAGCTGCAGTGAGGCTCTACTACGTAAAAAAACATTCAGCAGTGGACGCTCTAACGGTAACGGTAAACAAACCAGAGTTATAATATAACTTTGTTGTTTTGTAGATAATTTCTGCTTTTATACGTGGTAGAGCCATGCTGCAGCTATATTAGTAGTATAGTTGTAGCACGAATGGGTCGGCTCGACCGGGGAAGGACCACGCTCTCACAGAATACCATCGTAAAATAGCAGCTTGACACTGCTGTGTTTCGTATGGTGAGTGTAGAGAACCGGAGACCCTTTTTACTGGAAAAGAGGCATTCCATCTTAGTCCTCACGGGTGACAACGCATCTGCATTTTGATTCGCAAACGAGGATAAATGTAGATGTCTATGGGCCACAGCAACCACTTACCATGAGGTGGACTGTGTGATCGTTTGTCACCCTATCCTAAAAAAAAATTAGCAAATGTTGTCTCAATGGTCGAAATCATACAAAGTTATACAAAATTAAAACCTATTCCATGAGGCATAACATTCAAAATTCAACGTATTATAACACGTCTATTTTGTTTCTAGGTTATCCGCTCTCCTTCGACTCTGAAGACCCGAACACTCGTGTTCTAAGCACATTGGCAGTTGACGCTACAACTCCGGCCACCTCTGATGCTGTTGCCATGCAACAACTCACCAGGGCTTTGAGGACGAGGTATGTTACTAATTTTACAAGTTATAACTTACTTAGGCACACTACTATTTTTTTGCTGGGCAACATATACAGTGTTACTGTTGTTGTTACAGCCTAATAAAGTTCACTGCTGAACATAGGTTCCCCATAGATTGCCTTAGATGTATATTTGCTATAATTGCCGTGCTTGGTGAGCGAGTTGGCAACTACAGTTTATCTAGAATTTATTATTTATTTTAAATGTTTTCATTATTTATTTAGTTTATTATAATTATTCAGTGAGAATTATTAATTTTTCAAATATTGACTACTTGAAAATTAAAATATAATATAAATCTTAATTTTTTTTAACAAATTAAAATTTCTTTTAAACTTACCTTTGGCGGGGTAAGTAAGTCGAGAATATCCAAAGGTATCTTTTTTGTCATTTTTTCCAAGGTCAAAATTTAACAGACTTCACATGGCTTTGAAATGTTTATATTTCTCAGACATTCTTCTTTTCGGCTTTCTAAATGAGCATTTAAAATTTATTTCTAAACTCGGGCATGCATATTGTGAAATTTCGGTGTGGTGTTCTAATATGACATACACATTTCATATATCTTATAAGAGTTGCGTTGAAATATAGATAATTTTGTTACAGATTCAACCTCGACTCTCCGAACAGTACCGAGCCGATCGCCGGTCACGATGAAACCGACAACTCCCCCATCACCCCACATAGTCCTGGACAAAGGAGACTTATGTCCCGTTCCTTCGACCTGGATGAACTGGGGACCACCAATGAAACCAACACTGCCCCGCCTCGGTGCCCTTCCGCTGACCATTTACTTACACTTGCCACTGGTTATTCCTTTCGATTTACTAACAGTTTATTTTCTAAGCACATAAACGAACGTGGTCTGCTAACGTGCTATGGGGCAGCGTGGCGGACATTTTCTTGCTCTATCATTTACTATCTCTCTCAGAATTGAGAGGCCTATGGTCAGGACGTATATATGCTGTAACTTTACATTTTATAGACCACCGTAAATTAGAAAATGTATACAATCATGTTAAAATGTTAAAAATTCAACCCTTATACTATAAACTTTTTCTCTCTTTCTGATAGCAGCAAAACAACAATAAAAAAACTGCGGTTGCCAAACCGCTCACCAAGCGTGGCAACTATGGCAAATATCCCCCCATGAAATGAAAGTTACGAAGCGACGGTCCCCAGTCCCCGGCGGCCCCGCTATTCCTGGCTACGGTGTCGACCATGGTAACGGCGGGGCAGGAGGTGCTAAGAATCTCCGGTGGAGGTTCGGTTGCCACCTAAGATGACTCGACCAGGCAACATATAACGCACGCACCCTGAGGACTGACGAGAAGATCTTCGAGCTGGAAGAAGATATAGAGAAGTTCCGCTGGAATATTATAGGATTATCTGAGGTCCGAAGAGGACACGGTAATCATCGAATCCGGCAACTTGTTCTATCATCGGGAGGGCGACCATCTGTCCCAAGGAGGTGTCGGATTTATCGTCCACAAGTCTCTCGTTAACAACGTTGTAAAGATTGAGAGTGTGTCGACGAGGGTTGCGTACCTTATACTCAGAATCACCAAACGGTATTCGCTGAAGGTCATACAGGTTTACGCACCAACCTCGGCACATCCCGATGAGGAGGTGGAGGAAATGTATGAGGATATATCTAGAGCCATGCATTCATCCAAACCCACTATACGGTGTAAATGGGAAACTTCAATGCAAAACTAGGCGCAAGAGAGCACTGTGAGCTGAAGGTAGGGAAATTTGGAATAGGGCAACGGAACCCACGGGGCCAGCAGCTGGTCGACTTCATGTAGAAAGAGGGACTCTTTATGATGAACTCTTTCTTCTAGAAACGCGCCCACAGGAAGAGGACTTGGTCGAGCCCCGACGGTTCGACAAAAAATGAGATTGATTTCATTATGACCACCAGACGACAACTGTTCGCTGATGTCTCTGTGATCGCGGGGAAGAAAACCGGCAGCGATCACCGAATGGTTAGAGTCACACTAAACCTAAACGTTAAGTTGGAGAGGTCACGTCTAATGAAGTCAACACTCCGTCCCACTCGTGCTCCAATCCAAAGTCTCGAAACCTTTCAGCTCGAGCTACAAAACCGTTTTCAGTGTCTAGAAGATTGCAATGTGGTGGACCATATGAATGACAAGCTCGTGGAAACTGTCCATGCGGTCGGAGCTAAGTTTTGCAATACCCGCCGTAGAAGAACACAAAAACTCTCCGATCGCACTCTTAATCTCATGGCTGTTAGACGGGAAATGAAGCTGCAGTCTTCAGTAAATTTCATATCATACAGGTAACTAAACAGACAGATCTCTAAATGCATCCAAAGTCTTTGCTAGAGATTTGTCTGCCAGAAAGAGAACTCCGGAGCACACGTCTTCAGCACAATGGGAGGGACTCCATCGAGCCCACTCGACTTGCTGACGTCCAGGGAGAAGAGTGCTTTGCGAACCGAGCGCTGTGTAAATCGCACATCCGGCATGGAGCACTCACATCGCGGGATAGTCGGCGGTGTGTACCCCCGTCATCTAGAGTCGAGTTGGACGCAAAAAGAGAGCTCAACAGATCGGCTTTCTCCTTTGCGGAATGGGCCAGTGAGTCGTCCTCTCTGTGCAGAGATGAAAGAGATGGCTGACAGAAGTTCCCTTGAACAGCCTTGGCGAGAGACCAGAATGCACGGGTTCCCGAATGAAGGCGAACTAGCTTCTCGCCAATTCTGCCGATGTGCTCAGACCTTGCCTTGGCAATGACGCTTTTGAAGGACCTGGAGGCGGAATTATACTTCTTTTTAAGTGCGCTGGTGTTTACATCCCGAGATGTTTATGCGTCAGCCCAAGCCCGGTAGCACTCCTGCTTATAGCGTGATGCTATTTTACAGGAGCGACCAAACCATGGCTGGGATCTGCCTCCGATGGGCCACAGAGGATAGAATATAAAGTTCCATACCCTGAAGTACCACATCAGCAACAGAATTGGCAGCAACGCTGGGATCTTCCGGCGAGAAGCAAACCCGCCCTCAAGGGTAGGATGCAAAAAAAGACCGCATCCCGTCCCAATCAGCTGATCTATAGTGCCAAACACGGCGGCAAGCTGCAGATCGCAACTGCGAATGGAGCATGAGTGGCACCGTACTCCGGATCAGACAATGGTCCGAAGAGCCCAGAGGGGCATTGACGGAGACCTGATATCTGTCCGGATGAGAGGTCAGCAGAAGGTCCAACAGGGAAGATACATGATCTCCCACATTTGGGATCCGCGTAGGCGAAGTAACCAGTTGTGTTAGACCATATGCCAAGGCAAAGTCATACACAGATCTACCCGCATGATCGGTTAAACGAGAACCAAGCCATTCAGCGTGGTGGGCGTTGAAATCACCGAGTATCACGATCTCTGCGGATGGGACCTGTTCTAGCACGGAGTCTGCAGCCATTTGGACGTGGTCAATGAGTCGATCTGTGTCGGCATTACCGCTATGGGACCTATAGAGGCACCCGTAGACGCGGGGATGGTCGTCGCTGTCTACGCGCAGCCATAGGATGAACAGGTCCGTACCTTCAAGACTGCCGAGGCGTCGAAAACAGATGTCCTCTCTGAAGTATACGCAAACTCCAGCCCGGGGCACAAAGGAGTGTTCCAATATGTACCCCGGGTAGGAGAGATATGAAGTATCAGCCGGAGAGGACACCTGAGTCTCTGTTAAAAAGAGCAAGGCCGGCTTCGCCGTCTCTAGATGGTAATGGACAGCGTTAAGGTTGGAATGAAGTCCCCTGATGTTGCAAAAATTCACGGATAGCGTGATAGGGTCGCCTTGGTTGTATTGCTCCGCTTGCCCCGAGCAGCATTAGTCGCGAGCGGAATTTAGCCCCCCTCAGAATACGCGGGGCAGCCTGAGCACCCACGCTCAGGAGTGAAGTAGTTTGGTCATGGATGCTCAGCGAGGGATTCCCCAGGGGTGCTGGTACCCTCCTGGGTTAGTCTTTTATTTAACTCCACTACTATGTTGATGGGGGGCGGGGGACTTGGGCCTCCGGCCACCTGCACTCACCAAGCGCAACGCAGAGGTAAACCTCTACTTCACGCCGGTATTCTGTGAGGTCGTGGTACCACCTCGGTTCGCGAGCTGGCCCATCCGTGCGACAGCAAAAGCTACCGCTTGGCTCTACCACTTTTAAAATTTTTCGTTTCCGGGATACCTGAGATTTGGAGTGAGATTGAGAGGTTCTATGGGCAGCGGTACACATCATCGTTGGAGCCACACGTAAGTGTGAGTAACGATCCAAGAGCAAGTCTTATCCAACACTATTTCGATGATTCCGGACGTCAGTCTGAGCGAGATTAGAATGGCTTTCCAGCACCTTAACAACGGCTGGGCCCGAGGCGAGGCTGGAAGTCCTTCAGAAGCTTTTTAATTCCGTCCTCCATGGTGGCACTACACCGGAGGTGTGGAGCAGAAGTGCGGTGGTCTTGTGATTCAAAAAAGGCGACAACGTTCTCTTGAAGAACTACAGACCGATTTCCCTTCTAAGCCGCGTCTACGTGCTGTTTTCGAGAGTCATTACGAATCGTCTCGCATGCAGACTCGACGACTTCCAGCCTCCCGAACAAGCCGGTTTCCGAAAAGGCTTTAGCACCATAGACCACATACATACCCTTCGGCAAATTGTACCGAAGTCCAAGGAGTACAATTTGCCACTATGTCTGGCGTATATGGTTTATGAGAAAGCCTTTAATTCCGTCGAAATTTGGGCGGTGCTGCAGTCGCTTCAGCGATGCCAAGTTGACTGTCGTTATATCGAAGTGCTGAAGTGTTTGCAAAGTAGGGCTACGATGGCTATCAGAGTACAGAACCAGAGTACGAAAACTATCCAACTGCAGAGAGGTGTACATTTTGACGTTATATCCCAGAAACTCTTCACCGCTGAATTGGAAGACGTTTTCAAGCTTCTGGACTGGAAAGGAAACGATATTGGCATCAACGGAGAGTATATCGCTGGAGGACCTAAACACTATGCTTATTGACCTCAATAGTGCCTCCCAACGGATAGGTCTTAAGATGAACATGGATAAAACAAAGATCATGTATGACGTCCATGTCACACCTATGCCGGTAGTTGTTTGGAGCACTAAGCTCGAAGTTGTTGACGAGTATGTTTACCTGGGACAAATAGTCCGACTAAGTAACTCCAACTTTGACCGAAAGGTCAGTCGACGGATTCAACTCTGTTGAGCAGCGCTCGGGAAATTACGGCACATCTTCTCGTCAGGTATACCTCAAAACTTGAAAACGAGACTGTAAAACCAGTGCGTGTTGCCAGTGGTGACTTATGGAACTGAGAAGTGGTCCTTCACTGCTGGCCGTATGAGTAAGGTCAAGCTCAAGGTCGCTCAGCGAACTATGGAGAGGGCTATGCTCGGAGTTTCTCTACGTGATAAACTTAGAAATGAGGATATCCGCAGTAGAAGCAGAGTGACCGACATAGCCCAACGGTTTGGTAACTTGAAGTGGCAGTGCGCCGGCCATATAGCTCGAAGAACCGACAACCGATGGGGAAAAAAGGTTCTCGAGTGGCGGCCTCGTACTGGCGGACGAAGTGTAGGGCGTCTTCCCACTAGATGGAGTGACAACCTACCAGGTTCCTGCATGTGTTACCAACACAATGCAGGTGGCTTTGTGGCATTCCTTGGGGGAGGCCTATGTTCAGCAGTGGACTTGTGAAGGGTTGTAATGATGACGATGATGACTATAAATTTAAGTATAAACCCAATAACAAACACGAAGAACCCACCTGGATACCAACAAATTGTTAATTGGCATAAATGTCCACTGGGATTAAAATCCTGGACCTGTACGTTAATTGTCAGTTATGACCACTGATCCTTGCGATCATAATATTGTCTTACGTTTTTATATAAAAATTTACAGCTATACACCATTTCTTTATGTATTATATTATTTAATAAAAAAATTATGAAAACATTCGGATTTTATCGCGTTTAATTTAATTTATTTTTATTTATTTAATATTTGTCTCTGGTTAAATTTAAGTAGTTACATATACCTGTAACATACCCATACGAAAAGAAGGTATGTTTAAGTACTTGGGGTTAAAAATTATACATTTCAAAAATAATAGCTTTATATTAAAAATTGTTCTTCTAATATATTTCCCCCCTGTGACTATGAGTGCTACAGCATCTGAAACGTAAAGTCTTTTTTTTAAAGTCAAACACGATAAAATCCCTAAAATTTATTCTATTTAATCAATAATCATTTTAATTAATTTCTCTTTCAGACCACCAACACCGCAATAACAATGGTGCAAGTACCGAGCCAGGTAGAGAATTAGTTCTCACTCTACGGAGAGGAGCGGCAGGGTTTGGCTTCACCATTGCCGACAGTGTACATGGACAGAAAGTTAAAAAAGTAAGAAATTCAAAACTTAAAAAACGATGACAAAAACTCTTGAGGTAGAGATCTATAGACCGTACTTTGACTTTGTTCAGAGTTTACTTTCGAGCAATGTCAATGTAATACAATGTCGGTATTTATAGAGCTAACTTCGAAGTCGTGCTGAGTGCGTGCTTAGCAAAGCCTAAGTCAACGATATCGACGCTTTACGTAAAACTCAGGGTACTATTCAAAACCATCGTATTAATTTTAAATTGTTGTTTTATGTTACTCTAATTAATTATAACAATAAATAGATCGTTTTAGGCCGTCTTCTAGTTTTAAATAGCATTAATCCAATTTCTATTTACGTTATTTCAATGTTATTTCGAATCATACACCGTGTTGATTTATATGCCCGTTTATTTAGCCCATTTGGATTTTGCTTTTTATTTTTTTACCTTTTATCAATTTTGAAAAAAATATATTTTTATGTTGTTTTTCTTAGGTTCTGGACCGAAGTCGCTGCGCTGGATTACGAGAAGGCGACCTGTTACTGCAGATAGGCGATACCGACGTCAGACATGCACCTCACCAACATGTCGTGCAAGTGGGTTTTCTTTTTTTTTTACACATTAATGGTCCCCACTCACATTAATGGTCCCCACTCACGGTCAGTTAAACTGACATCAGGTCAACTGATCATTTCAAACGGATTTAATCCAAAAAAATTTCGACACACATGGTCAGTTCAACTTATCATTCCAACTGATCAGTTCAAACTAGGGCTGTTGATATTTTTAAAATATTGGATTTTCAATATATCGATAATTATAAATATATCAATATCGGAGTTTTATATATGGGAAACATAAGCGATATATTGATGCTTATTGCTTAAAAATGATTCACACAGTTTATAATTTAGTATATTTATTAAACAAATTAAATTATAAATGTATGAAAATGTTAGGTTATAGTTCTTAGTAATTATTTTACTAAGAACCTAATTATTAAAGAGCCATGGTAGCTCAGATGGTTAGCGCTCGCTGTAAATTTCACAGTACGCGAGCAACCCGGGTTCGATCCCCGCCGGCACCAATGAAATTGTTAATTGCAATTTTAAGTGCTGATTTACCACGTGCTCGGCGATGAAGGAAAACATCGTGAGGAAACCTGCATGTCTGAGAAATAAAATAAAAATTTCAGAAAACGTGAAGTTCGCCAACACGCATTGGGGCAGCGCGGCGGACGTTGCTCTAAAACCCTCTCAGAATTTAGGAGAGGCCTGCCCATCTGAGGAGTGCCCAGCATTAGGACGTATATAGGCTGTAACATTAACTTGAATTATTGTTTAATTTAAATAAGACAATTATGTTTACCAATATTTGTCAGTAAGAGTTTTCAAAAATACTCGTTGTTTTATATGTTCAGCTGTTTCAATACTCCAATTATTGGGCACTAAAAGATTGATTGAAGAAATAATTCGTTCAGATGCTTTGGATGCAGCTGAAGAAGTCAAGTATTTAACAGCTATTTCTGATAGCACGGAAGTAAATCATAAGACTTCTCATCATTATCATCATTACAGCCCTTCACAAGTCCACTGCTGAACATAGGCCTCCCCCAAAGAATGCCACAAAGCACGGTCCCGAGCCACCTGCATCCATCGACCTCCTGCATATCTTACCAGGTCGTCACTCCATCTAGTGGGGGGACGCCCTACACTTCGCCTGCCGGTACGAGGCTGCCACTCGAGAACCTTTCTTCCCCATCGGTTGTCGGTTCTTCGAGCTATATGGCCGGCCCATTGCCACTTCAGCTTACTAATCCGTTGGGCTATGTCGGTCACTCTAGTTCTACTGCGGATATCCTCATTTCTGAGTTTATCACGCAGAGAAACTCCGAGCATAGCCCTCTCCATAGCTCGCTGAGCGACCTTGAGCTTCCTCATCCGGCCAGCAGTGCAGGACCACGTCTCAGTTCCGTATGTCATCACTGGCAACACGCACTGGGTGTACAGTCTCGTTTTCAAGTTTTGAGGTATACCTGACGAGATAAGACGCCTAAGCGATTAAAATAACTTGAGGCTTATACCAACATCGAAGCATTTATTTCGTCGTTTTCTCTAATAGCTCACATGTGCACATAATCGCATCACTTTGATAAAAATCCACTTCAAACGATTATTTAAACGATAAAACAGGAGCAACCGTCCGTCAATGGTCAAGCTCCTGCCAAAACTCACAGTAAGTAAAGTAGTACTAAGTTTCATAAATTATAGTGATTTTAATATCACAGAGATATACAAAATTACATTTCTTTTTAAGATAATAAGCAAATAAATGAACTGGGGAATAATGAAAAACAATATAGTGTAAATAAAATATAGTAGATTGGGTCCATCAAGAATTAGGATTTAAGTTTACGATGGTGTTGTAGATTAAATTATTTACTTGAAAAAATAAAAAATTTAATTATTTTAAAAAATATATCGACTGTCGTATATCTATATTTCAATATCAAACTTATATTTCAATATATGTCGTCAAAAATATTAGAAATAAATATCGTTATTTCTAAATAATAAAATAGATTTTTCGATATATCGATATTTTATCAACAGTCCTAGTTCAAACGTGGGGCGTGGCCGTGGGCGTTTGGTTTGCGTGACTCCTATAAAATATCATATATATAGATAAATTAAATGATATTTAATAATACTTAAATCTTATTTAATAGCATTTCCTGTCTATTAATATATATGCAAATAATTAAAATTGAAGTGTCTATATGTAATGTCAAAATAAAAGTTTTTTTACTAAATGCATATGAAAGTACATACGGTACTTATAACAAAAACACAATTTTAAAATCTTTGTCTGTCTTTCTTTCTGTCTGTCTGTCTGTTTGTTCCGGCTAATCTCCGAATCGGCTGAACCGATTTTGACGAGACTCAGTGGCAGATAACAGATATTATATGGAGGAACTTAGGCTAATTTTAATTAAAAAAAAGAATTAGGGTTCCGTGCAAAAACATTAAAACCCATGAAATTCAATCGTAATAAATTACACGCGGGCAAAGTCGCGGGGAACAGGTAGTTAATAGATAGGAAATGATATTTTTAATTTATAGGAGTCACACCAACTAAACGCGCACGGCTGCGGATTCATCCGTTCCGTATATAGGTATATATGTATATAAATAACGTTTCCTATTTATTAACACTTCAAAAGATATTTTTATTCATGATAACATCAGTATTAAGACACTTTTAAGAAATGGGTCAGATATTATGATAATTTTACTCATTATGGTAAATTTTATTTATTTAATAAATGTGTTATTTATTTTTATCTGTTTATTAAATTACCTATCTGTAGAGTGGGCGACACCCCACTGATACTAACTTGCACTCCGGTTACGGTGAACCCAAAAAAGTCCGTGGGCATGGGCACATTCTGAAGGTCTTATGATGACCAGATAATGCTTATCGGTTTTTAGTAACGGAAATAGTTGGGATGGCCTAGTTTTCTGTGTTTATCTAATTGAGCTCTCGACGTGTTATATACTAAAATAAAGTTGAAGCACCCAAACGTCACGAATTAAAATAAGTTAAACAAAATAAAATCCGTAAAGTTTGTTTTATTAAATGTGTAGTATTCGTGTAATAAATCAGTCAAAAATCATTGAATTCTAAATACTGCGTACAGGTAACTTGGTCATTTATAGGAATTGGTGTTAATGGTGCTTGTAGGTTTTCTTGAAGTACGCAGATATTTTCGTCTTCTGGTTGTAGTTGGTTATGCTTTTTCCGTTCTGCCCTTTTTTTATTGCCTGTAAAATATATGGTCGATTTCTAATTTTGTACCTACTTAGGAGTTTTGCTGCTTTTTAATTGCATGAAAACATTATAAAGTGAGTAATAATACTGTTTGTACTATTTATTATATTTATATTATTTGTGTAGTTACTTCTTGAGCCCTTCCAAATGAGCCCAAACACGATGGTGTTTCGTAGTGGCATAACTGAGATCTTTTACCCCACCTTTTTGTTCACCATCATGAAGGTAATATAATCACATTAAACTAGGTCTTTATAAACCCTTTCAAATGAGTTCAAACACGATCGTTCTACCTAGTGCCGCCACTGAGATCCTATATCCACCTTCGGATTGCACCATCAGAAAGGTGAGGTCATAACAGTCACCCAGGTCTTTATGAACCCTTTTAAATGACTTCAAACACGACCGTTCTATCTAGTGCCGCCACTGAGATCCTATACCCATCTTCGGATTACACCATCAGAAAGGTGAGGTCATAACAGTCACCAAGGTCTTTATGAACCCTTTCAAATGACTTCAAACACGACCGTTCTATCTAATGCCGCCACTGAGATCCTATACCCATCTTCGGATTGCACCATCAAAAAGGTGAGGTCATAACAGTCACCTAGGTCTTTATGAGCCCATTCAAATGAGTTCAAACGCAGTCTTTCTATCTAGTGTCGTCACTGAGATCCTATACCCACCTTCGGATTGCACCAACATAAAGGTGATATCATCACAGTTATCTAGGTCTCCATTTACCTATTTGAAAATGAGTCCAAACACGATGGTTCTACGCAGTAGCATCTCTGTGATCCTTTACCCACCTTCTGAGTCCACCATAAGGAAGGTGACATCATTACCATCACCTTAGTCTCCATCCTCTGTCAAACCAATTTCTCTAAATATATATGACGGCTCCGTGGCGCAGTGGCTTAGCAATGAATTGCGGCGCGGGTTCGAATCGCGCACGGAACAAGTATTTGTATGGCCTACAAATGATTGTTCCTGGTCTGGATGTTTGTCCTTGTGCAATTTGTGTTTGTAAACTGCCTCCACGATACAGGAGAAAATCCTAGTGTGGGGGTAACGTTTTTCTTTTAATTTAATAAAAAAAAATATATAAAATAATATAAAATCTTAAAACATGTTATAAAAAATTATAAAATATATATAAAAGCTACTAAGAAAGTATGTACTTACCAATAATGGAAACGAACTGAAGCCAGCGGATTACGGTGCGCCCGGAAAAATACGTGGGTTGCCGTCAGTTAAAATTTTAACTTAAGATTTCACATTCACGATCAGTTTTTGGATGTACGTCAGTACAACGGAATAGTTTAACTGACAGCACGCCCGAATAAATCCGTGTGTTGCCTTCAGTAAAAAATTTCAACTTAAGATTTCACATTCACAGTCAGTTTTTGGATGTACGTCAGTTTAACTGACCGTGAGTAAGGAAATGTGAATTATTATGAATAGTCATAAAAGCTGTCCTCATACGCCCAATTGAATATAGGTGGAATTTTTACTAAGACCTAAAACTCTGGAGAGTTTTAGGTCTTAGTTCATATTTACAACCTTTTAAAGCAAGTATTTACAAATGGGTAACTATATTTTATTTTTGTCTGCATTTGGGAATCAAAGACATTGTGCCAACGGACTTTTACTCTAACCGAATAGTGTCGGTGCAAGAATATCCACTACTATATTGTTAGCGATCCAAAATTATTAATGCATTTATTTAATTAGTGTCATAGTTTTATATTCAATCTATAATGATTTTGGATCGTCAATTGATGCGAGCGGTCGATCATTTTATACTTATTAGTAGGTAAACTCGGGCCTTTCTGGTCATTCTGGTGCGAGCGATCGAGGCGAGCACAACACGCATGTGCAATAATTTTAACAACTGATTATAAGTGTGGTTTACAAATAAATAATTGTAAAAGGTTATTCGATGTATTATTTGAAGATCTGAAGGAAAACCTCTAATAATATCGTCCCGTGGGTGTCGTAAGAGGCGACAGACTGAAACAAACTAGGAGATGGGCAGCAGCGTCTGTCGTATAACATAAATAAAAAAAACTATGGTTGCTAACCCGCCTACCATGCGACGATGGCATAATCCTCCCTAAGAGCAAATCTTCGGGGAATACCTATGTTCAGTAGTGGACTTTTAATAGGTTATCAAAGTAACGGTATAATGTTACAGGTGTTAAAAGACTGCCCCGCACTGCACGAAACAACTCTACGTGTGTGGCGTCGCAACACTGTTACTCGTGCGCCGCGGAGCCGCTCTGCTACACGTTTGCAACCAACAACTTGTTAGTACTCACATTATTTACAAACGTCTGATCACACGTACGCGCACGCACATTCACACACGCACACGCGCACGCACACGCACGCACGCAAACACGCACACAGAGAGAGAGAGAGAAACATATAGATATAGTCAATTCCAAATTATTGACGGCTCCGTGGCGCAGTGGCTTAGCAATGAGTTGCTGCGCTGGGAGCTGCGGGTTCGTATCCCGCACGGAACAAGTATTTGTATGGCCTACAAATAATTGCTCCGGGTCTGGATGTTTGTGTTTGTAAACTGCCTCCACGATACAGGAGAAAACTAGTGTGGGGGTAACGTTTTTATTTTTTTTAAATAATAATATCAGAAACAATGTAAACTAACATGACAGATATTTCAAGCTTAACCTGAAATAAAACAGCTGTTTATCCTCCACCTAATCTAAGAAATACGTTTTGACGTTTCACATTAATCATTCCGCAATAACTTTGTGCAAGCGTACTCACACAATATAAAATAATCTTTTACGTAAATCCAAAGAATTGTGAAGTTATCTATATTCCATTATAACATGTAAGATTTGACTTTAAATTAGAGATAAAGAACCATATTCTTTTTCTCTAATTTAAAGTTAAATCTTACAAACATGCAAAATATAAAAAAATAACCAGAAACAACTTTTTGCTTGACGTTGTTTCAATGATATGTACTTATGTACCTCACCGATCACCTGGTGTTTAGATGATTCAAATTTATGTTAATTTTAATAATCGGTTAAAACATTCAAATAAAGGTTCGATACCTTTATATTTCTTAATTTATTATTTATTTCTTTATAATTGTGAGCATCGTTTTCGTTATATTATTTTAAAACGTAGCTCCTAACCCTGCAGAGATTTCCAACCACACTCCACACTTTAAAATCTTTGTTACTCAGAAATGTGAGGAATAGACAGATAAACATACATAAAAAAATATAGTTGAGTGAATTTTTTTTTAAAATATTGATTTAATAAGCATAAGCGAAGATAATAAAATACATTATAACATATAATATCTCTTTTGCAAAATGAAGCTGCATCAAACAACAACCAGTTGGGCAGAAGCAAAACGCCAACAGCCGAGCAACTTCGGTCCCCCGCGTTACACACACAGGACAACTTACGGGATAGACTCAATGGAATGAACACAGGTGAGACAAGTTTAGTACGACTCGACCAAGTCAATTATGCCCCGTTTTTCATATTCAGGAAAAGTTTCGTTCTCCATTACGATCCGTTTTATTTATACGAAGTGTGTGTAAAAACAAGTTTAATTAAAAGAGAAATACAGCTTATAAATGTCCACTGCTGAACATAGTACTTCCCCATAGTTCGCCTTTTAGAGGGCTAGGCAGGCGGGTTGGGAACCGCAGATTTTTTTTAATTTTGACTTGTTATCAAGAAAATGGTGCTCCTCATCTCCTGTTTCACTTTCCCTCTGTCGCCTCTTACGATACGTACGTAGTGGATATTCTTACACCGCCACTAAACGGTTAATTCTTACTATATTATTGGTAGAGCCATGCAGCAGTTTTTGCTGTTGCACGTATGGGCCGGCTCGAGCCGGGTTGGTACCACGACCTCACAGAATATCGGCGTGAAGTAGAAGCTCTGCTTCTGCGTTTCGTCTGGTGAGTGCAGGTGGCCGGAGGCCCAATTCCCCCCCCCCCCCCCATCAAGCGGAATTACACAATAGACTACCCCAGGAGGGTACCAGTACCCCTGGAGAATCCGCAAAATTCCGCTCAAAAACATAACTGCTCGGGGCAAACTGAGCAACAATACCAAGGCGACCCCTGGCACGCTATCCGTGAATTTCTGCAACATCAGGGGACATCACTCTAACCTAAACGCCGTCCACTACCATCTCGAGACGGCGAAGCCGGCCTTGCTCTTTCTGACCGAGACGCAGGTTTCCTCTCCGGCTAATATTTCGTATCTCTCCTACCCGGGGTACAAATTGGAGCACTCCTTTGTGCCTCGGGCTGGAGTTTGCGTGTATGTCAGAGAGGACATCTGTTCTCGACGCCTCGGCAGTCTTGAAGACTTGGACCTCTCCATCCTTTGGTTACGCGTAGACAGCTACGACCATCCGCGCGTCTACGGGTGCCTCTATAGTTCCCATAGCGGTAATGCCGAAACAGACCGACTTATCGACCACGTCCAAATGGCTACAGATTCCTTGCTACAACAGGTCCCATCCGCAGAGATCGTGATCCTTGGCGATTTTAACGCCGACCACGCAGAATGGCTCAGTTCACGTTTTACCGATCATGCGGGGAGATCTGTTTATGACTTTGCCTTGGCATATGGTCTGACACAACTGGTTACTTCGCCTACGCGGATTCCAGATGTGGAGGATCATACACCTTCCCTGTTGGACCTTCTGCTGACCTCTCATCCGGACGGATATCAGGTTTCCGTCGATCTTCAGACCATTGTCTGATCCGGAGTGTGGTGCCACTCACGCTCCCCTCGCGCTTGCGTTCTGCAGGTTGCCGCCGTGTTTGGCATTACAGGTCGGCGGATTGGGACGGAATGCGGTTTTTCTTTGCATCCTACCCATGGGGGCGGGTTTGCTCCTCGCCGGATGATCCCAGCGCTGTTGCTGACTCTGTCACTGATGTGGTGCTACAGGGAATGGAACTATTTATTCCATCATCTGTGGTACCCATCGGAGGCAGATCTCAGCCTTGGTTTGGTCGCTCCTGTAAGACTGCATTACGCAGTAAGCAGGAGTGTTATCAAGCCTGGGCTGCGGCTTCGGCGACTCGGGATGTAAACACCAGCACACTTAAAAAGAAGTATAACTTCGCCTCCAGGTCCTTCAAAAGAGTTATTGCCAAGGCAAAGTCAGAGCACATAGGCAGAATTGGCGAGAAACTAGTTCGCCTTCCTTCGGGAACCCGTGCATTCTGGTCTCTCGCCAAGGCTGTCCAAGGGAATTTCTGTAAGCCATCACTACCATCTCTGCACAGGGAGGACGACACACTGGCCCAAGACGCAAAAGAGAAAGCTGACCTTTTAGGCTCTCTTTTTGCGTCCAACTCGACTCTTGATGACGGGGGGAAAACACCGCCGACCATCCCGCGGTGTGAGTGCTCCATGCCGGATGTGCTGTTCTCTCAGCGCTCGGTTGGCAAAGCACTTCTCTCCCTGGACATCCAGAAGTCGAGTGGGCCTGACGGAATCCCCCGAATTGTGCTGAGGACGTGTGCTCCGGAGTTGGCACCGATCCTAACGCGTCTTTTCCGGTACTCCTACTCCCAAGGCGTAGTCCCGAACTCATGGAAGACAGCTTTTGTCCACCCGATCCCTAAAAAAGGCGACCGCTCAGACCCGTCCAACTACAGGCCTATCGCGATCACCTCCTTGTTCTCCAAAATAATGGAATCCATTATTAACTGCCAGCTCATCCGGTACCTTGAGGATCACCAGCTGATTAGTAACCGCCAATACGGTTTTCGTCGGGGTCCATCAGCTGGTGATCTTCTGGTCTACCTGACCCATAGATGGGCGGAGGCAGCAGAGTCCAAGGGGGAGGCGTTGGCCGTTAGTCTGGACATTGCGAAGGCCTTCGATCGGGTTTGGCACAAAGCGCTTCTTTCGAAGCTCCCTTCCTATGGGCTTCCCGAGAAATTATGCAATTGGATCACCAGCTTCCTTGCAGATCGGAGCATCAAGGTTGTTGTAGACGGTGCATGTTCTGACTACAAGGCTATTAACGCTGGTGTTCCACAAGGCTGTGTGCTATCACCAACGCTGTTTCTTCTGCATATCAGTGATATGTTGCTAACTGGTAACATTCATTGCTATGCAGACGACAGCACTGGTGATGCTTTATACACCGGCCGTGCCAATATTTCTCGGGAAAACGTCGCCGAGTACCGGAACAAACTTGTGTCTGAAGTCGAGTCTTTGCTGAACAAAGTCTCGGATTGGGGACGACTAAATCTAGTCCAGTTTAATCCTCAGAAGACACAAGTTTGCGCGTTTATCGCTAAAAAGAACCCCTTTGTCGTATCTCCTCAGTTTCAAGGCACTCCCCTTCTTGCCTCAGCCAGTATCGGAATCCTCGGAGTCAACATATCGAGTGACGCGCAGTTTCGTGGTCACTTGGAAGAGAAGGCCAAATTGGCCTCTAAAAAGCTTGGCGTGCTCAGCAGAGCGGGACAGTATTTCATGCCGGCACACCGCCTGCAACTTTACAAGCCTCAGGTTCGGCCTCACATGGAATACTGTTCCCATCTCTGGGCAGGGGCTCCCCAGTGCCAGCTCCTTCCACTTGACCGCATCCAGCGCAGAGCGGCTCGAATCGTCGACGACCGAGCCCTTTCCGATCGGCTCGATTCATTGGCACTGCGAAGAGATGTTGCATCCCTTTGGATTTTCTTTCGCATCTACCATGGGGAGTGCTCTGAGGAATTGTTCGGATTAATCCCAGCCGCCAAATTTCACGAACGCACATCGCGGCAGAACTCCCGATACCATCCACACCATCTGGATGATTGGCGGTCCACCACTGTGCGATTTAGAAGATGTTTTCTTCCTCGCACGACTTCCTTGTGGAATCGATTACCATCAGCGATTTTTCCGGACCGATACGACTTAGGGACCTTCAAGAAAAGAGTGTACTCCTTTTTAAAAGGCCGGCAACGCATCTGCAATTCCCTCCCTGGTGTTGCAGTTGTTCATGGGCGGCGGTAGTCACTTACCATCAGGTGAGGCGCATGCTCGTTTGCCCCCTCTCCTATAAAAAAAATATATTATTATTGGCACAATAAGTGCCACCTGTTAAAGATATCGATTTTATTATTGTGCCGTGGTGTGCTGTGGCGCTATCTGTCGTGTCGCTCTGTGTTCATGCTTATTATATTTATGTGCTATGCAGTGGCGTTTATGTTATTGTATCTGCCAAAGAAAAATAAACTGCAAAAAAGCATGAATCATAATGTGGAGATTGAAAGAGAAAACATCAGAATTACTTTTTTAATTAAGTTTGACAATCCTATTTTGGAAAATAGTATTATCTTTAAAAGAATCTTGAGAAAAATATAAATAAAACCTTAGCATAAAGGAATGTAATGTACATTCTAATATTTCATGTTATCGAATAATTTTGTTCAATAATTATTCTTAAAAATATTTTACAAATATAAATACAAACACTCACGCCTGTCACCCAGAGGGGTAGGCAGAGACTACGGACTACCATTTGGCGCGATCCTGACACATCTCTCTCGCCTCCTATATGGATGTAATCCATATATTTACGCATACACGCTCGTCGGTTAAGGGTACTCCTAATCCGGCCCGTTTTCAATATATCGCCGATTAGGTCGATAAATCTTCGTCTAGGGCGTCCCTTCCCGACTTTGCCGTTCACTTCTGAAACATAAATTTGCTTTGTCACTCTTTCCTCGTTCATTCTTTCTACGTGACCAAACCACCGAAGCATTCCTTTTTTAATCCTAGTCACAACGTCATCTTGCAAACCACACTTTTGTCTTATCACACTATTTCTCACCCTGTCATTCAGATTCAGCCCTAGCATACTTCTTAATGACCGCATTTCTACAACCTTTATTCTACTCTCATGCTTCTTCTGCCATACCCAACCTTCACTACCATACATTAAAGTAGGGACTAACACAGCATTATGTATTGCCATACATGCCTTCTTTGACACATTCTGACTTCATAATAGCGTGTAGAGCCCCATTAACTCTATTTCCTGCGTTCACTCGTCGTTCTATATCCTTATCATATCTACTATCCCTGCTAAATAAACATCCCAAATATACAAACTCATCCACTTGCTCAATCAACTCCCCTTCTATTCTTATTTCACATAACGTTTTACTTTCTTCTCTTTCAAAAACCATCACTTTCGTTTTACTTGCGTTCACTTTCATACCCCTTTCTTTGAATGACCAGTTCATTAAAGTAACCATCATTTGCAACTCGGCCGCCGACGATGCAAATATGACTTGATCATCGGCGTACAAAAGGCATTTGACGGTTAACCCCCCCCCCCCCTCCCCCCGCCCATTCTCAACCCACATTCTTCAACTTTCAAAGTTTGCAAACAACTGTCCATAAATAGGTTAAACAGCCATGGTGCTGCACAGCCCTGTCTGACACCTTTTTGAATGGCCCAAACCAGTCCGAGTAGGCCCCGTTGATCCTGACACAAGCACTAAGAGTCCCTATAAAGAGACTTTAATGCCTGTATCAGATCAGCGCTCAACCCAAATGAGGTCAGTGTTTGCCATAACACGTTCCTGTCCACTCTGTTATAAATAAGCCTTTTCCAAGTCCATGAACGCACAAAAAACTTTCTGGTTTTTGGCCAAAAATTTCTCCGCAATCATACGCATGGAAAAGACTTGATCCATACACCCCATCCCCTTTCTAAATCCAGCTTGCACATCCCAAATTTTTCTATCAGTTTCTTCCATAACTCTTTCAATTAACACCTTAGTATACAGTTTACGCACAATGCTAAGCAAGCTGATACCACGGTAGTTTTTACAGTCCTGCTGCGACCCCTTTCCCTTATATATTGGCACTATAACGGCTTTGCACCAGTCTTCCGATACCCGCTTCAGTTCCCAACATAAATTAAACAAGGTGTACAGCAGGTCTGCAACCACACCCTCCCCAGCCCTTAGCATTTCGAGTGATACTCTATCATATCCGGCTGCCTTACCTGCTTTCATGCTTTTCTTTCTTTTTCCCTACCTCTCTCCACTTCTTCCGGAATTTCTATTTCACTTACTTCAGACGATTCTTCACTCTTAAACACGCTTTCAACGTATTCCTTCTCTCTAAATTCGAAACTTCATCATTCAGCCATTCTCGTCTCGTATAGCATTCATTCTAGGCTGTTTTGAATTTCCCCTGGCAGTTCTTACGAGCTTCCAGAACATTTTAATATTTGCCTGGAAGTTATCAGATATTCTTCTATCATTCTTATCTATCCTTTCTTGCTTTTTCCTTTCAACAACTTCTTTTACTCTCCTATTTATACGTCTAAAGTCTGCCTTTTTTCTTTCAATCTCATCATCCATACCGCCAGAACGACCAGCTTTGGTTGCTAGTAAATATAGCCATGCTCTCTTCTTTGCTTCAACTTCCATCCGTACCTCATCATCCCACCACAACGTATTACTTTTCCTTTCATTCGTTTTCTTACTTACACCACATAATTCGGTGGCTGTATCCACCAAAACTTTCTTAACGTTATTCCATACATTCTTCAAGTCTAAATCATTCATACATAATTCATTCAACACACTTATATTTTCCCTCAGCCTGCATTTATATTTCTCTTTCACACTATCATCTTGTAACCTTTCTATTCTTATACGCTGTAACCCAGTGGTAGACACAGATGTCCGATGCCGCCAACGCTTGAATAGACCATTAATTCGGCATAAGACCAAGTAATGACCCGTCCCTACGTTGGACCCACGGTAAACCCTTGTATCTACCACTGCGCTCCTCATTCTTTCATCCACAATTATGAAATCTATCATGCTTCTATCATCCCCTCTTTCCCATGTATACATGTGAATCCTCTAATGGCGAAAGAAAGTGTTCGCCACAAAAAGATTCTTTTCCACACATACGGTGTCTTCACCATTCTCATTTATTCTTTCATCGCCAAACGCTCCTAATATCCTTTCATAACCAGACCTCTTCACCCCAACCCTTCCATTAAAATCTCCTAACATAATAATATTTTCATTTTCCTTACATTTCGTCAACACCAGCCTTACCATGTCCCAAAACTGCTCTCGGATATAAGTGGGATTAGACATATCTGGGGCGTACACCCCAAGCACGAACAACTTCTTTAAGCCCACTTTCATTCGTATTCACAGCAGCCTTGGGTTTACACATTCATACTCTTTCACACATTGACCCATTCTTTCTGAAAAGATGACACCGACTCCCTGGCATGCCCGCTCGGTCTCGTCTACACCAGACCAGTAAGCGGTATACATGCCATGTGCAGTGACATCTCTTCCCTTTCGTTTTGTCTAATTCACACATAACACATCTATTCCTCTATCATTCATCATTTCGCATACTTCATCCATCTTATCATTCATTGCTCCACATACATTCAGCGTAGCCAGACGGGCCTCCGCAATTCACTTTTCGCCCCTCCGGGAGACAGGACGTGCGGGTGGCGAACCTCGTCGCCGATTTTCCTCCCGGAGATTCTTCGCACCCCTGCCCCATTAAAGGGGCGTCTGGAACTTGGGGCCATTTCTTTTAATTGTTGGCTCATGGTGCGACCTAAGGGGTGGTAGATTTTACACCGCTACCATACGGCGAGGAGCCGAGTCTATCGTTTCGGCTTTGTCGCTCGTTTAGCACCACCCGGGGGACACGTGTAGGGTGGGCCTTGGATTAGGTGGTCGAAGCCTACGGACGCGAGCGAACTATAAACGACGAAAAATATTTTTTGTACATTTATAAAAGTATATAAGAATGTATTATAAATATAATGGTAACTTATTTTTTTTACTCATTGTGATATTTTCACTGAACAGAAGCCACATACGCGGTACCGGAGCACAAATCGCGCGAAACCAGGGAGAGCCTAATGGATCGTAGACGACGGAGCAGCACTCCCGGGGCTCGCTTGACACTCCCCGTGGTCCAACCCTGGACCGAACCTCAGAACAACCAGTGGCAGGAACAAGAGACATGGATCGACAACTCCAACAACATACGAAACTGGGCGGAAAACGCTCAGAAGTGGGACGAAAATGGACAAAAGTGGGACGAGAATGCGCAGAAGTGGGATGTGGGCCCTTCTAATGGGAATGGTTGGGAGGGAAATGGGGAGAGATGGGGAAACGGGAACTGGGGAGAAGTGCCGACGCCAACCGTCCATGTCGATATGAACGCGGCGTACTGGCGGGGGAACGCTAGTGTTGCTGATAGCAGTGATAACGGAGGTGAGTCATCATATTTTTTAATGTTGATTAACTAAGTGATTTTGCCGTGGTAATAAATGATCGCCACATAGTAACGGCATAAGAGAATCCACTACTCCATATCATATCGTGGGTTTCGTAAGAAGCGACAGAGGCAAACTGAAAAAGGGGATGTGCAGCTCTTTATTTATGTCTTTAAGTAGCAGTTAACCTACAATTAGGATAGTGATTCTAATGGTCGACTTGTTTCAATGTGTGACGTTTGGTTTCATTTTGTTGTGTAAATGTATAAGTATTGAATATAAGCCGATATCTTTTTTTATAGTAGTGGTGGTGACAAGGGTGACGTGCTCGTTGCACACAGTCCATCTGATGGTAAGTGGTTGCTGCGGCCCATAGACATCTACATCTATCCTCTATTATAAATCAAAATGCAGATGCGTTGTCACCCGTGAGGACTAATATGGAATGCCTCATTTCCAGTAAAAAGGGTCACAGGTTCTCTACACTCACCATACGAAACACAGCAGCGTTAAGCTACTATTTTACGCTGGTATTCTGTGAGAGCGTAGTCCTTCCCTGGTAAAGCCGACCCATCCGTGCTACAACTATACTACTAATATAGCTGCAATATACAATATGCAGCATGGCTCTACCACGTATACAATTTTTATTTTAATATATTAGCTTAGGTTATGAAATATTTTTACAATGAAATGAAGCCACTTAGCTTTGGTTGGAACAGTAATTAAAAACCCGAATGCAATTCCGCTAGTTCTATCTTGGTTTGGACGGTAACTAAAATTAGAGATGTGAATTCGCATATTGTGCGGTTCTTTTTACATAAATAATCGATTATCATTATTTATTTTATGGTTCAGTTGTGTAAATGCAACATATTGTTTATTACAGTGAAGTTTAAACAATTACCACCAGCATTACACAATCGCACTCCTATATTGAATTCTAAGGGAGATAGTGTAATTGTAAACTTAGAAATGAGGATATCCGCAGTAGAAGCAGAGTGACTGACATAGCCCAACGGATTAGTAAGCTGAAGTGGCAATGGGCCGGCCATGTAGCTCGAAGAACCGACAGCCGATGGGAAAGAAAGGTACTCGAGTGGCAAGTGGCGAAGTGTAGGGCGGATCCCCCATAAGATGGATTGACGACCTGGAAGACATGCAGAAAGTCGATGGATGCAGGTGGTTCAGGATCGTGCTTTGTGGCATTCCTCGGAAGAGACCTATGTTCAGAAGTGGACTTGTGGAAAGGCTGTAATGATGATGATGATGATGATTCATTGCCAAATTTGAAGATATATTTAGTTGAAAGTCGTCATTAAGTCACACCGCCGGAGACCCGGGCTGTCAAATTCCCGCAAAGGGATTACCTCATGGATTAAGTATCAATTTTAGGAAAATCATTTAGAATCATATTTAATCTGCATTAGGTTTTCCCGAGGACGGCATGCTACATTCGCCCACGACAGCGGCCATCGGAGGCCTATCTCGACAGTCCCCTTCTACCAGCAGGATACGACCTCATTCTCCTTCTAACTCCACTGGTATAATTTATATTTTGTTTCATATGCGCTATTGCAAATTCTTATAATATTTACTTTGACAACATATAAAAATAGAGAATATGTATTTACATTACAATGTATTTTAAACTTGTCATTTAGTAGCATGTATGAACGCATGTACCATACATAATTAAAATTAAAAAAAAATTGTACAATCGATTTCAATATAAATTATTAAGAATAACTAAAAAACTTTTAATTAAATTGTTCAGACCTTGATCAATTATATCATGATCATGTATATCGGACCAAATGAGAAGCACCAGCTTTTAAATAAAAAAAGAAATCGGTTCACCCAGAAAAAAGTGAGGTGTCACATGTAAAAAAAGAACACAGTTGAATTGAGTACCTCCTTCTTAGAATTCGATTTCGTTCAATAAAGTCGTTCATTATCGTTTATTGTTACATGTATTTCATGTGCAGGTCGCCTAAGAAGCCATTCCCCGTCCAACAACAGTGCAACGGAGCGGCTCCTAACAAATTCGCCGTTGACGCATCTGCAGAGCCAATCTCCATCCAACAACTCTTCAAATAGCAGAATTAAGGGATCTCCACTTAGGTACTATATTTATGTTATGTCTTATTTCCTAAATAATATTTAATTAATTGATGTGTTGCCAACATCGCGGCAATAGCTTGAAGTTACTGCGTGATGTTAAAATGTTGGTCACAACACGGTAGGCGAGTGAAGTTGCTGACTCTGGGGAAGCAAGAAATAAACCGAGGAGAAACACTTTCGCTTCAACTACCGAACGCGCTAGTAGCCTCAAGTCTCGAAAAGGACATAATTATTGTATAATTCTCGTTCTATTAAATACTTATATTATACGTACAGTCAGTGTCTAATTGTCTACCTAAGTAAAATATAAAGTTTACAGATGGAGCTCAAAGAAAATAATAATCTTTGAAAATATATCGCGGTCTTCTGTTTACCCATAAATTTTAGTTTTTTTTTATTTAGGACATCAAAATGAAAACACTAATAATTTAAAATTTTGTACAACTGATTTCAATATAAATTATTAAGAATAACTCCGAAGCTATTAGTCCGACCTTGATCAATATTTATATGAGACCACATGAGAACTAGCTTTCACATAAAAAAAGAATCATCGAAATTGGTTCACCCAGAAAAAAGTTATGAGGTAACACACATAAAAAAGAACATACAGTCGAATTGAGTACCGTTTCCTTTTTGAAGTAGGTAGAAAATAGATGGATGCAATTAAATTCACAAACCTTCAGTTTACATTATGTTTTGGTTCACGAAACTTATCTATTTTTTTTTTGCTCCATACAAAACTAATATTCACCATTGCAGTCAGTCGTCGTTGGTCTCGCGCCTGATCTCTCTCCAGTCGTGTCGTACCTCCATCCCACTACGACTATGGACCCACTATTACTGGACTATGAGAGTGAGGGAATAGAGAGAACACATGTGCTTGTTGCATACATACACTCGTGCACTATATTCCTATCATGCACAGGTGATAATGATACTCTTTTCACTAACTAAACAAAAACAAAGAATCATTATGTCGCTGGTATCCTGTGAAAGTGTTTCTCAAGTCTAGCTGACCCCTTCGAGCATCTGTCATAATGTAGCAGCGTGGCTCCACCACTTATAATTATATAAGTAATTAAAAATCAAAATGACCGTCCAGTTTCAATTTCGAGTACATGTAATTAAAATCATCTTTCACAGGCTTCATGATAATTCACCTTCTCATCACATGCACTCACCGGTGTCACGGAGGTCGCCATCTTGCTACGAAGGTGACTCTTTGGCGCAACCCAACACCGTATATGTTGCAAATTATCCACAGGTAAGTAAATTTTATCGGACTTTTGCTGGGAAATGAAGGCATCGAATGAAATACTAAATAAATTAATTTCATTTTAAAAGTACCTAACATGAGTTTTCGTGGGAAATCGAACAACCGGTTATGATTGTTACAATTAGCGACCCCCTGGGGGGTCGCGATCCACTGGTTGAAAACACTGGTCTATGTCAAGGAAATTAAGTCATCATTTTACAAAAATAAGATTTTTTAAACATTTGTGTTTAAATTGAATTTACTGGAGTAAATTATAAATTTAATTATTAAAACGCAAGTACGGTCGTGAGTTAAATATTGATGCCACATAATTAGAGAAATTAATGAATTGTGTCACTTAAATACCACCTAGCAGATTTAGATTCAGTGGAGGGGTGTACTAAGAGACCTAGTGGCGAAGTCATTTTAGTTTGGTCATAGGATCTTTCTGGCAATCCCAATAGCCTTTAAGACATCTTCTCAACAAATTAGGGTGACGGATGCCCTTACCACACGATAAAGTGTATATTAACTTATTGTATTCTTCTTCTTATATTTTTTTAATTGAAAATTATTTTTTGATAAGTTGATCTCATTCACAGGTGGAAGCAGGTGGATCGATCGATCCCGAAGCGGATGTGCTAGTTCGCTTGGCGAGGGGCAGCGCTGGCTTTGGTTTCCGCATCGTTGGTGGAACTGAGGACGGCAGCCGAGTCGCCGTAGGATATGTCGTGCCTGGTATTTATCTTCCTTTATCAGAACATGTGTTAATATTATTAAAAAAAAATAATAGAAAAAAAACCACATAAATTTCTAGCCTTACTTTCGTTTGTTGGTGTCGAATCGTTACATAGTACTACAGAGCTATGACGGAATTACGCCGATTTTTTTAAATCTATTCTCTGAAAGGGATTACATAAACATAATCATATCACAATACTCTAGATATTGTCACGCCCACAGATCGGACAGGGTTTTTTTTACATAGCGAAAAGATTCTCACTGTAACATTAATTTATAACCTGCACACAGTTATTGTATGCGGCCAATGGTAGATTGTCTTTGTCCAACTAAAATGCACCACCACTTTTAGTGTTCCACTTTCGCCACATATGGGCAGAGCCACGAGAATACTTTCGCACACATTGCGAGCCTACCAGTGGCAGCCGCCTTTTGACGTCCCTCCTTGGTAGAAGAAAACTCCCTTCACTCTTCACCTCGAGCAAGGCGAGTCTTCTTACAAGGTTTCCATTATCACCTGCGTATCGGACCGGGTTGACAACTTTTATATGATAAATAAAGTAAATTAAGTTCCGAGAGCTAAAATAAGCATCATTTTAGAAAAACAAAGAGTACTTTTTTTTTCAAGTCGTACAGTCATATTTTTGGAGCTTGCACAATTTAACATTATTATAATATTCGTAAGCCTCTCCACGATTTAAGTCGAATTTAAAATAAATGAGCTCGAATTTAAATTATAGCTCCGGATAACAGTGATAATAGAAACAGTATTTTGTATACTTTTTTTAAATAGAACAATATTATAGAGCGAAATAAAGTACGATACTGGTATTTAATTCCTAGTATGGTTGGCAACCCTACTCCCGACTCCAGTTTTAGGATATTCGATCCCACAAGGTTACATTAAGTATGCGTTTTGAAATGAACGTTTTTACGCTAATTGATACCAAGATCGAAGTCAATTAAAATTATGAATATTTCATTTCTTTACATTGTTTGGCAGGGGGGCCAGCCGATGGTCTTTTGCGTCCTGGAGATCTGCTCACTTCAGTGGACGGGATACCGCTAGCCGGTGCGACTCACGCACGCGCTGTAGCTTACGTCTCGCAAGCCGCTTCTAGAGGACACGTGAGTATACAATCACATGACTCCATGGAATATTATAAACAAGACGAAGTGGTAAAGCGAATTACGTTCGGCTACAAGTTAGAATTGAAAAAAAAATATTTCAACTTAATTTATGTACGATGTTGTTATAAGACTGATTTAAAATCTGATAAATTGAGACACGGTGAACGATACCACGATGTCGCAACTCGTCACCACGTGTGGTGCGTGATCCTTGCAAGCATCACAATGGGTCGATGATGTATTTCTGTCTTACTTATACCTCCAGGGATGTTCTTGTACTAGCGCTATAAATTGTACTAGAACAATGTCGCCAAACTCACACATTAGCAAGGAAAGAAATGTGTACCGAAAGTTGTGTAACATTTGATTAATATTCGCTTTATTGGCTATTAATAAATAATAGAGAAATGCTTTGTGTTACTCGCCATCAGCTTGAGTACGAACCATGAGGAAAAAATAAAAAAAAATAAAAGTATTTATTATATATAGATATCATATTTCTTTTAATCCATTGAGTTATATGTATTACGTACTAGAGATGCCATTCCGAACATTGACTATGTTCAACTGAACTGTAGTGCAATCCCTACAAACTAAATATTGCGTAAATTGAAGATTTGTGAATTCCATAAAATAATTATTATTACATATTATTTAGAAATATAACATGCTTGTTTAGATGAAATTAAGATATTTTATATTAAATTCTTATATTTATTTTATATTAATATCTTATTTTATATCAAATTTAAGTCTTCGCGCATGCGCACAGAACACTAATACCCTTAGGCGGGCGCATGCGCGACTACTACTTCCGCGCATGCGCGAAAACGTAGAGTAGGACACAGTTTTTGTTTGAAATGGCTTCTCTAGTACGTAATACATATAACTCAATGTTTTAATCTAAAAACAAAGTCTATCTAAGATTGACGAGCAAATTTAGCTACTTAACGTGACGTACTTAAAATGACGAACAAATTCTGTTACTCTACGCTAGATGTCGCAATAATAACTACGCTATTATAGACACATTTTCTGGTTGACTGTAACTTCAATTTGCCGTACATTATTACCTGCTTCTCGAACAATTCCCACCAGCATTACACAATCGCATCCCTATTTTGAATACCAAGTGAGCCAGTGTAATTGTAAACTTAGAAATGAGATGACGTAATAATTCAAGAACAACCTATCGATGTTTAATCGTTATTAAAATCTATATCTATACATATAAAGAAAATTGAAGTGTCCGTTTGTAATATCAAAATAACAGCTTTTTACTACGGTTATACGGCACTTATAACAAAAACACAATTTTTAAAATTTTTGTCTGTCTGTCTATCTGTTTATTCCAGCTAATCTCCGAAATGGCTTGACCGATTTTGACGGGACTTTCACTGGTAGATAGCTGATGTTATAAGGAGTAACATAAGTTACTTTTATTTTAGAAAAAGAATTATGGTTCCGCGCAAAAAAATTAAAACCATAAATAGAACGCGGGCGAAGTTGCTGGGAACAGCTAGTATGGAAATAAAATTGGTAACCTAATAATATTTATTGGGAATTTTAATGTACTACAAATTCAAATATATTTTAACGAATGTTTGCATTCTCATATTGCATAGTAAAGCATATTTACGCATATCTATATCTATACAAATAAATAAAATTAAGGTGTCTGTTTGTAATGTCGAAATAACAGCTTTTTACTATATGCATGTGAAAGTATATACGGTACTTATAACAAAAACAAGATTTTTAAAATTTTTGTCTGTCTGTTTGTTCCGGCTAATCTCCGAAACGGCTGGACCGATTTTAACCAGACTTGACACTGGCAGATAGCTGATGTTATAAGAAGTAACTTAGGCTACATTTATTTTAGAAATTGAATTAGGGTTCCGCGCAAAAAATTAAAACCCATGAAATCCAATCGTAATAAATTACGCGCGGGCGAAGTCGCGGAGAACAGCTAGTATCTATTAAGTCTACGCGACACGTTAGCTCGTTACTATATTATATGCCTGCAATTGACAGGCTGTATTGTTCCTTTTTGCGGAACGCGTGTCCACTTTGCGCTTCCTCTTGTTTTTAGTATTCCGTGGGATACACCATTACCATCACAGTACTGCATTACAGCCTCTCAAAAGTCTATTGCTGAATACATAGACATCCCCCATAGATAGCATCAGGGTGATATTTAATTTAGTTGCCACGATGGGTTTCGCTTTCGCAGTCTTTTGGAACGAAGTTCTTTATCGCACTGCGGATGGGGGGTTGGCGAGAAAAAGTGAAAGATTTTGCCGTCACGACCAGGGGGTTCTATAGTGCGAGCGAGATGGAAAATATCCTTCTCCCTCGGACTTTTTCTTATCTTGCCATGAAAGAAATATTATTTTAAATGACGCTTCATTTTAATAGACGCTAGTAATTCATTTATTTGTATTTGTTAATCAGTACTATAATACGTTTATCAATAATAATATACTACGAAAGGAACTTTGTTCCAACCGAGTTTTCCACGACACTCAGGCATGTATTTTTTATTATTTTAGGTAATGTTATTAGAAAAATGCTGCTGCCCATCTCCTGTTTCATATTACTCTATCCCCTCTAAGGCCCGCCACATACATACGGAATTCCGTTTCGAGATTCCGTTTCGGAATTCCGAACGGTCGGCCACCCACAAACGGAATCCCGTTTTGCCCGCAAAATATCGAACGGAAAAATAACGTACGTGTGTGACGGGTCATAGATTTTATATGAACTTGCTGCGTTCGAAATCTCGAATCGGAATATCGAAACGGAATCTCGAAACGGAATTCCGTATGTATGTGGCGGGCCTTAAGATACCAACGGAATGATAGGGGGTAATAAATTATCTTACGCCACTTCACAGCATACAGTTTTAATACGGTTAATAAAATTGCAGGTGACATTAGGCGTTAGGCACAACCGAGCTGACATCCAGCCACTGGGGCTGCCTACAATGGTGACACCACATGCACATCAGCCGTTACTTACGTAAGTAAATTAATACATTCACAATAGGTAATGGGGGAAATTAGTCAAAATATCGTCGTAGTAGGAGTCATCAGCGGCATATCTTTTTTTCCTTATTTTTTTTAAGGGCTCTTATAAACTAATTAGATAAAAATTCAGAATATTTCTTTTGTTTGATATTGATTTTAATTTCAAGATTTATACATATTACAAAATGTTTATTTGTATTTTTATGAAGTTTCTCCCTATATCTGTTAGGGGATGCAATTATTTTATCGATTTTTTTTAAAATATTTACTAAAATCATCAGGTTTTAAAGTAGTTGGTTTTAGAAAAAAATCTCAAAGAGCGCTCTTACTTAATACCCATCGGCACCAATGAAACTTAATTTGCAATTTTAAGTGCTGATTTAAAGGAAAACATCGTGAGGAAACTTGCATACCTGAGGAATAAAATATTTCGAGAACATGTAGAGTCCGCCAACGCACACGAGTAGTGCAGCGGACTAATTGCCATAAACCTCCCAGTAATTAGAGGCGTGTGTCACCTGTGGGACGTATATAAACTGTGACTTTACTTTTTACTTCTTTCAATTCAATACTTTATCTCTTTTTCGTCAAGTCACAAAATGCCTTAACAACGAAATTTTTTTAATTGATGTATTTGTTTTTAAGTTTATTAATTCTGCGGGATTACAAAGCGAAGCCGATCATATATTATAAGTAAGCAATTATTTCATAACCCTGTTTAATATGTTTTGATACTATTTTAAGAAAGTGCTATTTGACTGGTAACTTTTTAGTTTATAATTTAAACCCCATGTCAGTAGATCGCTAATCTGAAAAGATATGACAGTGATGACGCGCGAAAAGAATTTCTAAAGGCAATAATAGGTAAGAAGGCTATATTAGTAGTTTAGTTGTATCACGAATGGGTCGGCTCGACCGGGGAAGGACCACGCTCTCACAGAACACCAGCGTAAAATAGCAGCTTAACACTGCTGTGTTTCGTTTGGTGAGTGTAGAGAACCTGAGACCCTTTTTGCTGGAAAGGAGGAATTCCATCTTAGTTCTCACGGGTGACAACGCATCTGCATTTTGATTCTTTATTGAGGATAGATGTGGATGTCTATGGGTCACAGCAACTTACCATCAGGTGGACTGTATGCTCGTTTGTCACCCTATCCTATAAAAAAAAAGGCTCTTAAGCAGAAAAGGAGTGTGTCCTACCACCGTGTAATAAATATATTTGTAATATTAATAGCGTCCATCGTGTAGTGACGGTGTAAGAATATTTACAATCCCATATCGTCCTGTGACTGTGAGTATTGCAAAAGGTGACAGAGGGAAACAAACCAGGAGATGGACAGCAGCATCTACCTAATAACAACTAAAATAAACAAGTGGTAAAATTAAAACTTTTGTACAACAGAATTCAATATAAATTATTAAGGAAAACTTCGAAGTGAAGGACAAATCCGGCCTCACATGGAATACTGTTCTCATCTCTGGATCGGGGCACCCCAGTGCCAGCTCCTTCTACTTGACTGCATCCAGCGCAGAGCGATTCGAATCGTCGACGACTGAGTCCTTTCTGATCGGCTCGATACACTGGCACTGCGTAGAGATGTTGCATCTCTGCGCATTTTATCGCATCTACCACGGGGAGTGCTCTTAGGAATTGTTCGGACTAATTCTAGCCGCTCAATTTCACTATCGCACACGCGACAAAACTTGCGATACCATCCATACCACCTGGATGATTGGCGGTCCACCACTGTGCGATTTAGAAGATGTTTTCTTCCTCGCACAACTTCGACTTAGGAACCTTCAAGAAAAGAGCCTACTCCTTTTAAAAAGGCCGGCAACGCTTCTGCAATTCCCCTGGTGTTGCGGTTGTTCATGGGCGGCGGTAGTCACTTACGATCAGGTGAGTCGCATGCTCGTTTGCCCCCTCTCCTATAAAAAAAAACTCAAAAACTATTGTTCAGACCTTGATAAAGTTTATCTGGGACCGCATGAAAAGCACCAGCTTTCAAATAAAAAAGATTCATCAAAATCGCTTCACCTAGAAAAAAGGATTGAGGTAACACACATAAAAAATATACAGTCGAATTGAGTACCTCCTCCTTTTTGAAGTCGGTTAAAAACTGCGTTTGCCAAACCATCTTTCAATCGCAACAACTTTAGCAAATATCTCTTTGGGGAAGGCCTATGATTAGCGGTAGACTTTTGATAGGTTGTTACGATAACGGTTAGTAGCGTTGCTAGTATTCCTTTGTTTGAAATTAAACCTACAAGCTGCGACATATTCAATAAGAAAGTTAAGTTAGTAATAAAGTTAATCTTTAAACTTGTTTGCAGAGCGGACCAATCCGTGCACCACATGCCGGCCGCCTCGTATAACATCCTGCATCCTTCACCGATGTACCCGCCCGCGCACATGCCCATGTCAGTATATGGTGATGATGTTATTTTCATACTAATATAACGTTTATTAGCAACCAAATATGTCTAAATCGCAAAGGAGCTCTGTTTCCTGAGCTAGGGACCTGTATCTCAGGAATGAGTGGGAAAAAAAAACATTTTACACAATAAATGAGTTTTTAAATTGTAGTGATTAAAGTACCTGTTGTCGATGCATGAATTAATTTATTTATATTAATTAATTTATTAATAAAATTTGTTAAAGGATGTTTTTAGTTGTGTTTTAGATTAAGTTTAGAAACTAATTATTATATTATAAAAATTTTTGGACATTTGCATGCTGTTGAAAACAGCTAAATAGGTTTTCTCAACACATTGTTTATAACACCAAGAACAAAATATTTTTGTACCTGTTTACTAGCAAATAAAAGAATTTGAATTCTTGGTCCCTACTAAGTTTGTGTATATTCTGTAAGTACATTAAATATGATGATTCAAGTCGTGTAGTGGTGGCGTGAGATCACCTCATTTCGTCTCGTTGGTGTTGTAATAGGCGACTATCGAAAATTCTAGAACATTCACGACTTTAGTTAGGTAGTGTTTTAACCAATCACATTTATGTTAGACGTATTTATATTTATGTTAGACCCAGACCGTCGAGGGACAGCACTGTCAGAGGTGCGAGATGTCTGGTACTGCAATTGTCACCTGTCAGTTGTGATGATTAAGGCAAATCATCCATACTGGGAGAAGCCCATGTCCAGCTGTGGACTGCTAAGGCCGATTTACACATCGAAAAGTTAGTTTACAGTAGCGAGTTAACTGGCGAACTTGGCGAGTTAGGTAAAAAAATCTCGCTTGAACGGCAATTAGTGAGTTAAGTAGAAAATTAACAATTAAGTTGAACGGTATAGCCGGCCCCTGTATTTTTCGGCGAGTCAATAAAACTGTACTGTTTTTCGAAATGCGCCACGAAAAAATTTGAACGCTACTGCCCGTTTACTGTCAACTGTACTGTAACTAAACTCGTTACTGTAATTGTCGAAGTCAAAGTCGGCTCTTACGGGCTGATGAAGGAGATGATGATGATTTCTTCCTAACTGACTTCGATCGGAGGCTGTCAACAAGGCAGGAGATAAAGTTCCAGACTATACGCGTACAAATACAGCGAACCTTCTAATCTCGGAAACAATAATCATCAGCTCGTAAACTGTAGGGCATAGGCCTTCGATATTTAAAATGAAATATTTTTATAGTTTTGGTTTTTATTTTGTCCCCCCCCCCCATCACCCCCCTCCCCCTCTATCTCCCTGGTTGGAAAGTATCTATGAATTCATATTATAAATATCCGCCCGCTTGGTATTTATTACGATTGAAATTCATGGGTTTCAATTTTTTTACGCGGGATCCTAATTTTTTTCTAAAGTAAAATTAGCTTGAGTTACTTCTTATAACATCAGCTATCTGTCAGTGCCAGCTATAAGCCGGAACAAACAGACAGTAAGACAAACATTTCAAAAATTGTTTTTATCTTTTTGTTTTAAATACCGTATAAACTGTCATATGTATTTATGAAAATTTATATTATATTGATATTGCAAACAGACACTTCAATGTATAGTTTAAAACTATGTATTAATTTGAAAATAAAAATAATCTTCTATTTCATGTTAATTGAAACATTCATATTGACATTTAAACAAATAAAATGGCTGCCAGCATCTGTAATTTTCAGTACGGTTTAGACTGCACCGGCAGGTTTTCAAGGTACGAGTGCTAGCGCCTTTTGCTATATGTGTATTAGTTTTGTCCAATCCAATGGGCCAAATATCGGGATGGAAGATAAAAATAATCGAGGATTTGGTTTATACATGTAAGGAAATAAAAATAAAAAATAGGTTTCTTGTAGTCATTTTGGCCGCCATGAGTTATGATAAAGTCTTTTTGACATAATGTGTAATTTGCTTTATAATTTTTTTTTGCCTGAGCTGACCACCGCATAACGCATATTCGTCTATGTGAGTTTTGTTTCTGTAAATCAGAATTTGTTGAACGATTAGTTCCAATTCCAATATATATTTACGTGATTTTTATATATTCGATTTATTTCAAAACCGATTTTTGATAGTCTGTGGTTGTTCGTTATGGCATGGCATAGTTTAACGTACAACATCACTATCGTAAGGGGGCGGTACCCATTCATGAAGTACAACAATATATGTATGACAGTTTATCTAAAAGAATACGAAACTTCATAGGCGTGAGCTGTTACCCGCACCATGCTATATGGCAAAGACATAAATAGTAATAGTAAATGTGATAAACAAGCTCACAGTTCACATATTAGTAATTGAGCATCATCTCGTAAATACATTAATCTCTGTGCAGGATGATAAAAGATTTCAAAAAACCGATGCGTGGTAAAACCTAAGACTATAAATTGAAACTAAATTGAAATGTCTTTTTTTTCTGCCGCAAAAAATTTATGTTAGATGATTAAATAATGTAGTTTATAAACAAGCAAGACAAAATAGAAATTTTAAATAAAATCACACTAAGTAAAAGCTTTTCCAGTCCCCTGTTCGCAAGTATGACAAATGCGACTAGTAAGGGCTGCCTTGTTACCAGTGAAAAGGGATTGTTATCGTCTTAATGAAATATTGCATAAAGATTGACTACTATAAGGAAGAAATATTATAATGTATATAAAATTAGCCCTAAAACTAAATTTTATAAACTACAATTTCAGGTATGGTGTGCAATACGACAACACGGCTGGTAGCTGGTCACCAGTGCCGTACGACGTAACGGTCACCAGGAACGAAGGCGAAGGCTTCGGTTTTGTCGTTATATCCTCTACGAATAAAGCCACCAGCACTATTGGTATGAGCTTATTCTTATTTGCAGACCATATTTCATCGATTTTTTTCTTTTACAAATCTTAATACACCACCAAAGTGGTTTTCTCTGCTTACTTAAAATGACTTGAGACGTTAACATTTTTGTTCAACGAAGTTTAAACTTATAAAATTTTTTTTAATTGAATGATTGATATTTTTACATAAATAAGTAGTTTTAGTGACTTATGGTGTATTTATCAAGTCCGCATAGAGGAGTAAACATGATAACTTTGGAAAATATCAATTGTTTACTCTTCATCTATCATGTGGCAAGCCATGGAATGTAAATTGCAGTTCAATTTTGTTTTCTTTAGTTATAATTAATTTTTTTCGGCTCATATTTGCTGAGAAAATGTCCTGGTCCTCGAAATGTTTTGTGTTTTGAGCAGCCTTGTAATAATTTATTTTACTATATACACTTTGCTAAGCCGCATTCCGCGCTCGGCCGCCGTCAGTGGATTCTTTATCGTTTGTTTATAGCAGTGATAATAGGCAGCAAAAATATCGGCCAAGGTTATTATTTTTATAATTATAGATTTTTATTGATTACATGTAACTCTTATAAAAAACTATAATTAAAAAAAAAACTAGTAACTTAATTATCACACAGTCCTACTCGCGGAATTGTGCCAAGAACGCTAGCTGCGTTTCCCCGCTGAATGGCTATACTTAGTGTTTGGTATGGGTGTGCCGTCTCAAAATCGTCATTTTGAGACGGCACATGGTACCAGGTGTCACGCGTGTCGCGGGGAGGGGGCAGCGGAAGGCAGCTCCCAGCGTTTGGCGCTGGCGGGCGAGAGGTAGTAGCTCGCGGGCAGCGATGCAGTTAATTAGCGTGTCACGGTGGCCGCTGCCGAAGTTTCCCACGACCGGTTCCGGGTTATGGTTTAGATTTTTAGAATTTGTGCGCGTTACTTCGCTACGTAATTGTGGTTTCGTGAAAACCGCCTCGGTTTAGTTAGTCTAGGTTTTAAGTTCGTGACAAGAGGCTTGTATTGCATTTGACTGATTAAAGTAATTTCGTCTAAAAGTAATTGCGCCAATTATATTGAATGATTGCGTGTTGAAGTGAATTTTGCAATATTTAACTTGCTCGTGTGACGTGGAATTTCGCGCGTGCGCCGAGTAGATACTACGGTCTGGAATTTGAACCGCGAATTCCTTTTCGAGGGCGTCGCCCGGTTGATTGTTTGGAAATCATTGTTTAATTATACCGTCGCGTTAAGAGCTTTTTGTGTGTTGACTCAGTAGCTAGTTTACGTGTCAGCTAGGTTGGTTTTGAATTCTTAGTGCGGCGTATTATTTAATATCGAACGAAGGAGCTTATTTGTGTTTGTAACGCTGAACCGTGTGACTCATGAAGATATCGCGTTAGTTCCCTATTTGTAATTGGTGATAAATGAATCCGGGACATTGAATGTGGAACTTTGAATTACTGTTCGTTACTTGTGTTGGGTATCACGTGTTCGATTCTATGATGAACGTTGAATTAGTCGAGTTGAAGTTAGTTAAATGTACAATAAAGTGTCCATTGTGGACGCCTGCTGGAGTGATGCAGCATTGTGGGGCAGCATGTAAAGCGGCCGCTGCCAGGTCACCTCAACTGGGCCAGATCACCCACACATACACACCACTAAACCCTACTTTACATGCATCTATTCTACCTACGGCCTGACCGAGCCTTGGGGCGGTCTTAGATTCGGATCCAGGTACGTACTATTTATTTACCTCGCCTTCTCCCTATTGTGTAGTATGATAGGATATTTTTTCATAAAGCCACTTGGGCCCGAACCCTCGGCTGCCCGTCGAGGAGGCTACGATGGGCCCTAGCCAAGGCGACCTTTGCAGGGGCAGCTGTGGGTCGTAGCACACTTAGCATTTTAGCAAAAAAAGAACCAGTCCTCTTATCACAAGCAGCAACGACCAGTTGTGGATAAAGCCCCTTTATGAACTCCATCGCACGTGGTGGTTCACCGCTCGAGTGGAAAATTTGACATAAAATTCTCGGAAAATAAGTAATAATTGTAAGGTAGTTTACGTATAATCATGTTATACGAATTTACCAATAGCTTTATTTATTTTGTGATTCGTCATAATAAATCCAAATATAGTAATAGTTCAAATGGTAAGTGCCTCGGCGTGAACAGGATGAAAGTTTGGCAAATGTCAATGTGTCGGTTCCCAGGTCAGCTGATCCCCAACTCGCCGGCGGCGCGGTGCGGGCGGCTGCAGGTGGGCGACACGATAGTGGCCATCAACCAGCTGCCCGTGCGCAACCTGCCGCACCCCGAGGTGGTGGCGCTCATCAAGCGCTCGGGCGCCGCCGTCACGCTCACCGTGCTGCCCGCGCCCCACCCCGCCCACCAGTCCCTCTCACACCCGCCACAACCGCACAACTGCTGACCGGTCAACCGCTCAATCTCTATGGGAAGGTGACTCTTTTTGACATGAATTCCTCTTTAAATTTGGTTTAATAGTGGGAAGCAATTCAGAAAGCTGATGATAATAGTTTGTTGTTGCAGTTACATATCTATCATCTACATGTAAAATTTAATTTTCACCATTCGATAGCTAAAGGATCAAAGAATTCGTTACGTTGAGCGAGGACTATGACGCATCACATGCGGTGGACGGAGAGCGCCGTCATTTTGTGGTCATTTCGTTACGTACACGTATTCACGTAAAACACACGACCGTGTCCACAGCCACACCCCGATCTTTTTTAATTTGATAGAAATAAATTAATTTTGACTTAAATCTTTACATTCATTATCATTACAGCGTATCAAAAGTATTCTGTTAAACACTGACCTCCCCGATACAATATTTAATAATTGCCATAGTTGCCACGCTTGCCAAACAAGTAGGCAACCACAGTTTTTTTACTGTGTTGATAACTAAAAGATATAAAAGATACTGCTACCAACTTCTATTCCCTCTGTCGCCTCTTACAACACCCACGGGATGATATGGCATAGTGGATCTTCTTACGATGTCAAATCGCGACACTTATTTAAATATCTCATTCTAAATATGTCTATGCGCCCCTGAAAGTTAGTTTTGCAAATCTTATGAGGTCCAATTCACTGGTGTCGATTAATATAACAACAAGAGAGGTTTGTTACTAATGTTAGTAATACTAAGTTTCTACTCAAACGAATTTTCTTTTAATAAAATAAGGATGACAAACGAGCACACACACCACCTGATGGTAAGTGGATATTGTGACTCGTAGACATCTAGATTTATCCTCGTTTAACAATCAAAATGCAGATGCGTTGCCACCCCGGAGGACTAAAATAGAATGCCTCGTTTCCAGTAAAAGAGGCCTCCGGTTCTCTACACTCACCATACAAAACACAGCAGCCTTAAGCTGCTATTTCACGCTGGTATTCTGTCAGAGCATGGTCCTACTTCGGTCGAGCCGACCTATTTGTGCAACAACCAAAATATAGCTGCAGCTTGGCTCTACCACGTAGTTCTAGGCAGAAAAGTAATCTAACCATCTGGTAGATTGATATCACATCTAGTATTATATAATTAGACACACCTTCATGTGCCCTATATAACATATCAATTAACTCTTTAATTTTGAAATTCTTTTTTTTTTCTACAGTTCCATTGACGGATATTTCACACATGAGTCGAAAATATTTACTATGGAAATCGTCTCAACTCATTAAAATTCGGATTAGTTTGTACTTTACAATATTACCTAACATTGTATATAAGCCCTTTGTCAATTTCCGACAGCGTTTCTATGGCCACTATTTAATTTATGCACGCAGATAAACAGTGAATTGACTTGTTGATAATACTGTAGTTGTAGGATCCGATAGCTTTAATTATTTTTGTAATCGTATTTTTAATGTAATGTAATTTGTATTTAGTGTTTATTGTTTAATTTTGTTTGCAACAAATTGCATTCCTAAGACTTGATCGTTTTTATTTTAGCCGGAATATAACTTACTTTCCTTCATACCTATCTAATATTTGAGTCCTATAAGTACACTGTACTTTCGTTTATAAAAAGAAATATATAAATTTTCGAAGTTTTATTAAAAAAAAATATTAAAAGAAGCTAAGGTAGTTCAAGGACCGGTCGCCAGTTTTCAATCCGCAATTGTACACTATGTGTTGCGTTCAAGGAAATTCAGCCTTATTGCACTAGAAAATATGAACCATATAGAACTATTTATCCAAATATTAACGTTCTCATGTCATTCATATAAATTTAGGCCGTCCACATTGACATATTATCATGTGTGTTGTCAAGTTTGCATTTGATTTTATGTTTATATAGTTTTAATAATGTATTAGGAATTGGGTTTTGAACTTGTTATATAGCAACGTTTTTATGTTTGCCAAACATTTATACAACTATTTTTTATTGCCTATTGGCATGCCTTCGAAGTTATCCAATATTGTAAATATTGTCACAAACATTATTGATAAGTTAGTGTTTATATAATGATAATTGGTTCATATAAATTTTGAGGTTAGAGAGTATTTTTGGATGTCCATTTATATTGGTTTGTAATATCACATTAGTATAAGTTGTTAATTCTCGAATTACTAGATAGTAAGTTGATGATTTTTAAGATTAAAGATAGTGTGATAGTGTCAGTGTGTTTAAGATATTATTAAACATTATTGCATTTGTGAGTCGTCGTAGATGTAAGTATTTTACTGGAAAATTCATTTTTTACAAATAAAGCAATAAATATAGAATAAGGGTGACAAACGAGCACGCAATCCGCCTGATGTTAAGAGGATGCTGTGGCCCGAAGACATCTACATTTATCCCCGATTAAGAGCCAGGTGAGATGATGATAGATGCGTTGTCATCTATCATCATCTCTAAGGCCGTTCTCTACACACACCATACAAAACACATTAAGTTACTATTTAGTGCTGGTGTTCTATGAAACGTGATCCTTTCCCGGTCGAGCTGCAACCATAATATCAGAGACATAGTAATATCTACCAATTTTGCTTCCGACATGAGGTGAGACCAAGGTGTAACAAATATACTAGTCGCCTCAAATAATAATGCGACAGTAGTAGTTTAAATATATATAAAGGTATATATATAATTTTGAAAATAAACTTAACAAACTGACAATATATGTATATTGCATTTTATTTAGATTACAAATGCAATAATGTTTTAATAAAACTGCTTAAAATCGTGTTTTAGTAAGTCTCCAAAAAATAAATAAACACTAAATGTAAATGATTTGTAAACAATGATGTATGTAATTTTAATTTAATTAATTAGCCATGCTGATTTTAAAACTGTTTGAAGCTTGTTCCTTTATAAACCTTATATTGTTATTTAGAGGTGGTTTTATCAAAAATTCATGAAATTAATTGATATTTATATCGCCGTGATTGACGTCATACAGTATTCTCAATGAAGTGAGGTCAATACCAAATTGTTTTGCTTATTATTGTCAAATACAAATGTTTTGGTTTTATTTATAAAATATCGCTATAAGTTTCAACTTATTACTAAGTGGTGCCGCCTTGGTGAGAGAAAGAGGCGTGGACGCTCTCATTGCTTTGCTGCTAGGGACTTTCATTTGGTCTTTGAATTTATTTTATAATATTAACCAGTTTGAGGTTACTCTTCTAATTTATAAAAAGTACAATCAGTCATTTATGCTACGATGAGATAGCGGACTCTTCAGTATATGACGTTATCATTAGTAAAAGTTCAAAAAGTTGTTAGAAATGAACTACTTATGCCTTATGTATTAAGCAATAACAGAAAAGACTCCTTAAGGAATGTTTACTTACCAAATTGTGTATATCTTGATAATGATTCATAACTCATTATACAAACATTATATAGAGATATAATATTATATATATTGATAAAATTTTCGCTATAGCGATTTAAATACACTATGGCTCAAATCACATAGTCACGATCGATACAAAAAATAGACACTCCTAGATATTATGTAAATGATAATACCGTATTTTGGTCGGACTTTTGTAATAATTGATTCAATTGACATCACTGCTAGAGTTGTATACGCTGGAGACATTACGGAATGTAATTAAGGGGATATCCGGATGGCGTTTATTCCATACAAATGTATTCCTCTGTTTTGTCCCTATGGTTTTTTCTTTTTTCAATAAATTAATTACTTTAAAATTGAAATAACAAAAGGTTGCCTGTTACACCGCCGATATAAGATATCCAGAAAACTTATTCAACGAATATAAAAAATAAAAGAAAAACATTCGGATATGGTCACAATCCTTAAGCTAAGCCACATCGCAGCGCGTGTCGTGTGTACCTAGTGTACACACGTGCGAAGCGGGCGGAATCCATCGAACCCATACGCTAATACAATCGTCGATTACGCGGATCGCTTAATGAGTGTTAGTGAGTGAGCGTATTCTTTCTCCGACGCTGCGACGAGCTCCGCATCGCCACGCCCCGTTTTAGTGGAACGGAATACGATCAACACACTGACGTACATATATATTATATAAGGGTGCGTTCCGATATACACTGCGAGCACTACTCAGTGCTCTCACTGGTTAAAAATTCCTTCCGTTATGGACTGCCACTATACTGCTTTAACAAAGATTTAACAGCTTTCACAAATGATTGTTATTATTATTAATCATTAATATTGTTATACAAATAAACTCGGACATACCTAAAGTTTGAAAAGCAACATTCAAACAATAATTTCTCATGTTGAACAGAAAACGTGTACATGATAAATATTTTAATTTGAAAACATTGTCGACAAATGGGGATGACAGTATACTGGACTGCGTTCCGTTTTAAACAGTAACCAGTATAGCAAACTCAAACGGAACTGCTTCACAGTATACTTTATTGACGTCACACCTTACAGTGGTCACAGTGTATATCGGAATACACCCGTGATCAGTCCGAGCTGAACTTAGTAGCTCAGTCGTTTGGACGCAGCGCGACAGTAATCAATCAATAGACGATCTTTAAAAGCCTATTAAAATTTCTTGCGCCTGGATATCCTCCTCCTTTTGAACTTAGATCAACACTATTACACTATTGTTATTGTATTTTATTGTATTATACGCGGACCACCGAGTGAGAAGAAAGTTAGGTTTTAAGGTTTATTTAATAAACTTAGTTTTAAGTTAACGCAATAAAGTAGTGCCTTTAATAAACGTCTTGTCTTGCCTTGCCTTATGAAATGACCGTGAATATAATATAAATTATCCATCCAAAAACGAATTTGAGATCTTTTCCTAAGTGTGATTGACATTACAAAAAAATTGAATAGATTTCTCAGGCTGTAATATTAAAATTGTATGTCCTTTTTCATTTTCTTAAACTGAAATAACTACTATGATATTTAAAATGATATTTCATCTACATGCATATGTATTTC